ACTTAGCCCTGGCCCTGCTGCCGGATTTTTTTTAACCCCCTCCCCCCGCTCAACAACTTTTTTATCTGAGTCAATTTTGAGTCAACTCACTTACTCAACAAAAAAAAATTGAGTCAAGTTTGAGTCGACTCATATTTTAATTGAGCCGCTTGAGTCATGAGTCGAGTCAAGGGAAAAAATCAGCTCCTTGTTTGAGTCAGAGTTGAGTCAGGGCTTTCTGAAGTTGAATGATGAGTCGAGTCGGCAATTTTTTTTTAGTCGAGCACAACCCTGATTATAGCACTTAATTTCATGCTGCTTTTTACTCAGTTCCACCGATGCATAAACAAAACACAAGCATATTCTAGTGAACAACGAATAACGTTTGTTAGAAACTGTGTATGCCAGACTTTTCTTGGAATATGCGCCTCTCAGTAAGATCTCGGGACCAATTGCTTGCCATCTTCGTCGCAGATTCCAGGAAACGACCGACGCGAAGGCGCTCCCTCAGGGTGTGGTACATCTTGATGCACCCATTGAATGCCTCCAGAGCGTTGCTGGTACTTGGCACCGTCTTCTCAAACCCTTGGTACCACGCGCTCCTTTCATTGAGGAACTGCTCCCCTACGTAGTGCGGGAACCCAGAGTCTGGCCAAAGTTGTTCCCACTTGGCAAGCATCAAGGCCGCCGGTACCTGAAGCTGCGCCGTGCCGGAATGCAAAGAAAAAAGTGAAGGGTATTTACCAGTCTTTCGTCTATCCCTGGGTTTTGCACACATCCTGTTCGTAATGTTCTATACTGGTGGCATTCGCGGACTTTGCGGCATACGTTCTTAGACGACGTCTCCCGGCTAGAACTATTCATCTCAACAGCCGGATCTGGTAACACAACTCTGGGCGTATAGCAGCACGCCCTCGGCGGTCCCTAGGACGCCCATGCGTCCGTCGCTGACCCCCTCCGCGACGAAGTTCAGCTTCGGTCAGTCACTTCCGCGTTACAGCGACCACGAACAAGTGAAACCGTGTCATGTTGGCCAGGTTCTATGGCACTCAATCCTGGAGTCTAGTGTTATCAGGTCACCTTTAGGAGGTGACGCGTCCAAGACAACTGCCACACGTCAGTCAACACCGGCTGGATAGTTGAAGGCTGTCGTCATCGGTGCGGAGCTCTTGATGCTCTCGCCAAGGTCTTTTATCATTTGGATGTGGCCGTTTGGAGAATCAGACTACAGTGGCAACAAACACCCCTGATAATAAACAGCTTGTTCAGCTACATTAATGCTTGCTTACTCGGATCTTGACAGTTCGTCAAGCAGTAAGCAGCCACATGACATCTTGCAGCTTTCATTGAGGGATGCCAGCATATACACCAGCGCCTCGCTAGTCATGACACTGGCTCATCGCCGTCATGCCCACAGCCGGTGTCGACATAGCCACGGAGTTTGGTGCCGTCCCAATGCACGTGCTTTTTGATGGACATCTCGTTCACCAGTAGCGCGCACACCACACATTTTCCGCTTGCGTCCTTTACGTGCTGGGTCAGCACGTTCATGACCCCAGCAGTGTAGCCGCACTCATCATCAACGCAATTGTACCACTTGCGGATGGTGTACGGTAACTCCTAATGCGTTCAAGCTTCGCACGTGAGCCAGCAGCTGATCCTGGAGATGCTGGAGCTCAGTCACGTTGCAGGCCTCGTGCGGCGCCAGCAGCCCTTCGACGTGTCGGAAGAGGATCAGCTCCGGCCTTCCGTACCAGCGATCACCACACGACTGACATAGAAGGTACAGGCATCCACAGATACAAACATGCCATGCCCCTGAAGCAGGCGCCGTTCGTACCTACGCCTTCAGACGCCCAACTTTCGGAGAGTTCGGACCCACAGTGCTGTGATCAGTCGACATCGTGGCACGATCTAAATGACTTTACACACCATGCCACTTCTGGACTAGTTAGGCTATCTACCTTTTCCTTGCACTGTTCTTTTGTAGCACCATTCTTGAGGATCCTGAAAATCGAGAAGGTGTTCACCGTCTGGCTACAAAGATAAGAAGTTGCTGAGAAAAGTGGTTTGATTATCATCATGCATCCTTTTCCATGCACCATTTGGTGGACGGCGTCCGTTGAGGATCGTTCACAAAGAGACGCGCCGTCAGGACTGAGACTGATCACTGGAGTTTTCTCTCACCCCCTCCCCCCCACCGGCTGTCGCGCTTTACCCCTTCTGGAGTCACGGGGCCTCGTACTGGGCTACTCAGGGGCTCGCTCGTTGGCAACGAAAATGTGTTTTCGCTCTAGCGAAAACCTGAATTTATGACAATATGTTATCGTGATTCGGTGCCATCCTTATGCTGACTTCCCTTTTTAGTTCTCCTGTTTCTGTCAGCTCTATTTCACCATTTCTTTCCTACGCAGTTTCAGCTCAGCTTGTTCGATACTGACTCCGACCGGTGTGCGACGTGACTAATCGTGTGTTGGGCGACTTAGTTGTTCTTTAATGGTTTCTAACGTCATGGCTGTGACGTCACTGCGCCACACTCTTACATGTCGTTTTGACTTCTGAAAAGGGTCAATCGAGCGCCGTCACTTGCGATGCTTAGCATGACAGCTTTATGATGTACCAATGCGGTTGATTTGTGACACTTCATACTATCATTGTTGCAAGCTGGAAAGCAAAGAATAGAAGGTGAAAAATGTAATTTGTTTTCTTTTGTTCTGTTCGACCTGTAAAATGTATCATAAATAGGGGAATGTGTGTCGTATTTTATTGTCGTGAATGTGTAAAATATGAAGGGAGATTACATAGGGAACACATAAATCAAAGACGACGAACGCATGTAGGGGAGAGCGGGGAGAGTTGTATCATGTCCAAGTTGTATCAGGGCGAATTGTGCCAAACTTATCCAATGGATGGCGCTCGCGACACGACCAGCCGACGAGGTTTTCCGGGCGCCATCTTTCCCTGTTCTGTCTTGTGGCTGATTGGACGCGTCTCGAGGTGAGAGCCGATTTTATGTTTTTTTAATGTCATTCTAAAAAAATAAGTTGCAAGAAAATGTGTGTTCTGGGCATTTAGATGTGCACGAATTTGAAAGATCTCCGTAGCGATGGTGAGGGTAGGTTCTAAGGCTGCGTGAGTGAAAACGGATTTCTCCAGCTGTCCGCTGTTTTTTTAGCACGAGGATGTTTTTTCCAAGATGGCGGCTAGGTACATGTTGTATCAGAGCCGGGTGGGGTATGTTGTAACATGTATGTATGTATGTAGGTATGGGTATGTTGCTTTTGATCGCGAAAGCTAAGCCCTGGCTCGCGTTTGTAGGTAGCTAGTCAATGCTCGTTCCATTTCGGCACAATGTGTTGGCTTCTTTGCTCTTAACGGGCAACTTTTGCGTCTAGTCTGTTGATGTTTCGTTCGGATTGCATTGACCTAAGTTTGGTCTAATAAAGTGAAGCCTTTGAGCATACCTATACATCGTATTAACCCCATTTAATGTTGTTGTTATGTTCAAAACCAGTAGCAAGCACACTCCCTGAAACGTGAAATAGTGATACAAATTACCCCACCATGTGATACAACTCACCCAAGCCATGGGGCAAGTTGTATCAAAAACATTGTTCTATTCGGGAGACCGTAGAAGAAAAACTGGTAGAGGTAGCGGAAAAGTTACTTTGCACAAAAAAGCAGAAGAATCAAGGAAGGGGATAGTATGGAAATAATGAGTTTATCACGGATAGTTACGAGGTTATGGGTCTCGGAGTAAAAACTGATACAACCCACCCCACTCTCCCCTATTTATTCGGTGTTTGTTTGCTTGTTTGTTTGTTTTTAGCCATCAAAATGTGCACATGCTGATTATATAAGGACATATTTTTGTTATGAGGTTATCGGTGGAGTCAACAAATATAGCCAATAAGATATAAGTAAATAGCTATATAAATAGAATATAATTATATAGCCAACAAAAGTATTTTCATTTAGTTCATTTTAGTAGTTCATGCTCCACCGATAACCTCAGAACACAAAATGTGCACGATAAATTACGGGATGACTTGATTGGTAACAACTGGATCGAAGCTGAACTAATGTTATCAGTCGCCTTTTGTCCTGTTTAAGTGTTTAACCTGTGAAATATGAAATAAAATGGGGAGAGTTGATAAGTGACTATGAATCGAAAGTGAGCTTATGCCATCAGTCGTGTTTTGTTCTATGTGACCTGTGAAATGGAAAATATATGAGGTGCTTTGATTGGCGACTTTCTTGGAAAGGAGGGTGTGAGGGAGGGAAGGACTGAGGGAGAGAGAGAGAGAGAGAGAGAGAGAGAGAGAGAGAGAGAGAGAGAGAGAGAGAGAGAGAGAGAGAGAGGGAGAGAGAGAGAGAGAGAGAGGGAGGGAGAGAGGGAGAGAGAGAGAGAGAGAGAGAGAGAGAGAGAGAGAGAGAGAGAGAGAGAGAGAGAGAGAGAGAGAGAGAGAGAGAGAGAGAGAGAGAGAGAGAGATTCACGCATCGGCTGGCCACCAATCGCGTATCTTACAACATGGACGAGTCATTCACCTGAACCACGAATGCGCAGGGTAGATTGCAGGACTTGCATTGTCGAGGATAACAAACCAGAAGATGTCCCAGCGTGATCGCTGCGTAGTACAGTGGTTAAGTAAGTAATGAGCACACAACACCTCGTACTTTCGCATCTGAGCTTGCAAGGCATTCATACAAGTAGGGAAGAAGGTGCGTTAAAGTTTAAATGTCACACACGTGTTTAAACCGCTCAACAGCATGGCTTGAAGTGAAGGGTTTCGGAGGGGAGGCGCGTAACGTCAATGCTGAACGAAACAGTAACTTTCTTACAGACCCATCGATTAGAAGCATTCTCTGATACAGCTAGGAAGTCTCCAGCGACCTTTGTTTCAAATATACATATACCTAACGTAGACTATGAAATCATGGCTTATCACCCAGCACCTAATTCACGCCGCGTAGATACGGAAGCATGCATGTACCGCGGTCGTCATTGTTCATTTTAACCTTTTTTCCATGTTATCAATGTAGATGTATTGTCATAATGCATGGCATGGCAACAAGCTTTCGGTCATCAGCGGGCCAGTGGCCAGCTGAGCTTATCAGCTACGAACGATACCAGCCACTTATCTGCTAATAAACAGTAGTAAGGTACTCTCAACCAAGCGCAACATGTATGACAAATGTGAAATGGCAGGCACATCTCCGAGCGGCTTGGGATTGACTTACGCTTACTGGACGGGGACAGGCTAAACGGTTCCCTATGATGAAGAGTAATTTCACGTTTGAAGTATATGTATCCAGCGCCGTACGTTCTGGAGATCCAAACTAATGTTGATGGGGTAAGAGCATACGCCGCCAAGGCAGGAAATGAACCGTGCCAGACACAATGCTCATTGAACGCTAGCGGAATCCTCCCACTGTCATCCACCAACCTTTGTAAATCTGGATACGAACTAGTAGTTCTATAAATGCATCGATCGTCCTAAGAACGGACTACCTCCGCAGCTGATAGGTGAATTTGTCAGTCACCATTTCTGCAGATAGGCGTCGTCGCCGTAGGAGCGTCACCGGCCCTAAACCTGTTCCTCGTCCCAGGGCACGATGGCGTTAATGTTGCGCACTCTGCCGCGGCCCCTGGTGAAGGCAGCTGATGAGGGGCGGTTCGGCCGGCCCTCGGGTCGGTCCTGCCGGCCGGGCTGGGGCGCAGAGGACGTCTCACTGCCCAGCGCCCAGTGCGCGGCGTCACCCTGCGCGGCGCTGGCTGCCAGCTCCCCGCCGGCCGGCGTCAGCTCTGTGGGCGCGGGCGGCCGGCGCTCGGCCGGGGGCGCCGGGCCGCCCAGCCGCGGCACCTGCAGCGTCAGGGGGTCTCTGTTGAGCGCCGACACGGCCTCGGGGCGCGGAGCTGCCGGAGGTGTCTCCTCCACCAGCGCCGGCCGACACTGCGCCACACTGCGTCCGCCGCCGCGCCCGATCGGCGGCAGTCGCACCCCGCCGCCGGCCCCGGCGGCCGCGGCGCGCTGCCGCTCCGACCTCAGCTGGCGATAACTCTCCAGAACCTGTCCCTCGAACGGGTCGCTGGGCACCGTGAGCAGATCCCTCGGCCGGCGCGACGGCGGGCTGAGCGGCGCCGGCGGCGAGGGGCTGCGGGTGGCCGCGCGTGCGAACAGCGCCGGCAGCTCGTCCTCTGAGCTGGCGCTGCGCGAAAACGCCGGGTTATCTTGCCCTCTATGCCCTCCGGGCGCCGCTGCCGAGGCCGATGCGGCGCTGAGCAGGTTGTCGCCGAGTCCGCCGAGCAGCGCGGCCGGCGAGCAGCCGTTCAGGGCGACGCCGGGCACGGCGGGGTCGCCGAGCGGCGAGGCGAGCGCCAGCTGGTCGAGGGCAGAGGTGAGACCTCCGTTCAGGGCCGACGGCTCGCCGGTGAGGGAGTGCAGCATTCCGGCGCCTCCCGTGGTGATGGCGGGCGGACCCGGCGGGCGACCTTTGCGCCCCTTCGCGCTGCAATGGCACAGAGTGAGAGAGGGGTTATTGGATGACCCGTATCGAGACGTAAGAATGCAGGGACGGCGCGTTCTGAAGGAGGCATTAATGAGGATCTTAAAACTTTGAATGATCGCAAGTGTTTCTTTAGAGTGTCGTCCATTTTACAATAATTCTGTGTTTGTAGACAAGTTCAATTGTAAGCAGTATTCTTCCTTCTAAGGTTTTCGACACTTAGTTGTTTTTTGTATCCATTCTTCACCACTGTATCAGAATGCCTAAACCACGAAGCAAATGCAGTCTCAGTGTCATCTGTGCAATATCTCAGAGGAAGATTAAACGTACGGGTCATTCATTATGGACTTACTTTTTGACTGGCGTTGTGTGGATGGACTCGAGTCCCCACATTTCCTTGCGCAGCGTCTCGCCAGATATGCGGCGTCTTTTGAGCGCTCTGAGAGTCACACGTCCAACTCTCTGTGGACAGGGACAAATTACAGGGGTAACATGTCGGCGTATGACATAGTGCCAAGCTAAAGAGGAGTCCTTAATAAAACGAAATGAGTGTGAAAATACTGTACAGGATTACGCCGCTGCTCCCCAACGCAGCAGTAGTTCCTACCCTCCTACCTTCAGAGTTCAGAGTAAGAGGTGTAATGAACATTGCGTCCAGCTCCAGAGTTTCAATAAGACGAAATGGTCGTTGGTCGTCATGCCTACATGATAAGCAATCACTTTGGAGGCTCAGTTCTTGCAAAGTTCCCGTAGTGCCCCAGTCCTCACTCCCTCCGTGTCCACCCTCGTCCCCTCCCTTGACTGAGTACTGACCTTCCAGTTGGTGAGCGCTCCCTTGCGCTGTCGGGCTCTGGTCTTTGATTTCGACTTGATGACGACCACGCCGCGTCTCTTGTCCCCGCCCGGCAGGGGCAGCGAGTACGACTCCAGGTTGGCCTTGCATTTGTCGCTGCCGATGCCCCGCTCCAGCGTGATGACAATGTTGGCCCACTGGGAAGAAAATGTGTCACGATCACACGCCATTCGCGCGAGAAACGAACAAGAACAGACTCGGCCTGTTTGTGAACTTCGTGAGACCAAACAGAAGCGTTTTCTTTCTGGCAATAATGCAGCAGTGTCTACGGCTATAAAGCAAAAGAAATCAGTATGGAGACTCAGAAGATGCGACAAATTTCCCTGTATCGTTCCTAGCGCGTGCTGACAAGCTAGTCAGACTGTCAAAGCTCATCGATGAAGTAGTAAATTCGTTCGATCGGGTTAATGACCTAGCGAATGACTACGAAATATCCACGCGCTCTCAGCATTTATAAGGTGTCGTATGTGTGTCTTACACTCCGTGCCTTGTGTTTCAGATGTTGCTAATAAAAGCCTAGCATCAGGCATTGTCTCTGAATCACCACAATTTTATTAGCAACATATATAAATATGTAGAAGGCCGATCGCCCACTGGTGGCAGTTCCTGCTTCTGGAACCACCCGCCACAGTGCAGTCGTGACTACAGACAAGCTAGGTGACTACAGCTCTGTCACTGCGCATGTGCATCAAGAGCAGCAGGCTACTCCAACTCAGCAGGTGTCATCTGAAGCCACTGATGAGGTATCTGCTGCTCTCCTTCGCCCCTGCTACTTTTGTGGTGGACCGGGTCATCCACGCAATAAGTGCAGGGCCAGAAATGTCTTCTGTTCGAACTGTGGAAAGCAGGGACACTTCGCAAAAGTGTGTCAGTCCGAATCAGTTGAACCGTCGTTGTACGCACCTCGTCCTCAAGTTCCCCGCCAGCCACCACGTGTGCCGGGGGCAGGTCGTGGGCGAGGGGCTGCTTCGGCCAGGGCTCAAACCTCTGCTGCGATGCCAATCATATCAGCCATCCAGAACTGCTCTCTTCCAAGTTTGAAATCGGCTATGATGTCTGTGTCTGTTGATGGACGTGACCTGGAAGCTCTCGTTGACACTGGAAGCTCACAGAGTTTCATCAGCACTGAAGTTGCGAGGAGCATCGGTCTACACATTACTCCAGCACAGGGAGTAGTATGTATGGCCTCAACTCAGCACCACGTGGATGTTGTTGGGCAGTGCACGGTGAAGCTACGAGTGGGAGAGGAAGAGTATACTGATTACAAGCTCTCAGTCATGGATGGGCTTTGTGCTCCTGTACTCCTGGGTCACGACTTCCTGGGAGCTCACGACAGTGTATGCCTCACCTTTGGAGGTTCCCGACCATCCCTGTCCCTGTGCGGTCTGGTGCCGGCTGTGGTGAGGCCGCCCTCACTGTTTTCAAATCTGACTCCTGACTGCCATCCCATCCAGGCCAAATCTCGGCGCTACTCATCGTCAGAGTTGAAGTTCATCGAGGACGAGACGGCTAGACTGCTCAAAGAAGGCATCATCACTCCCAGTACTAGCCCCTGGCGAGCTCAGGTCCTGATTGTGCCATCCACCAGCGGCAAGCGCCGGATGGTGGTTGACTACTCACAGACCGTGAACAGATTTACCGAGTTGAACGCGTACCCACTACCGAGAATCAACGAGATAGTTGACAAGATCGCGCAGTACTCACACTTCAGTACTGTCGACCTGGCCAGCGCCTATCACCAAATCCCGATTTCGTCAGAGGATCGCAAATACACAGCATTTGAAGCTGGAGGCAAGCTGTACGAGTTTCTCCGTATCCCGTTTGGTGTCACGAACGGCGTGGCATGTTTTCAGCAGATTCTCGATGACATCATTCAATCAGAGGGTCTGAAGGACACATTCGCCTACGTGGATGACGTCACCATCTGTGGTCGCGACAAAGAACAGCACGATGCCAATCTGAAGCGGTTTCTGGATGCTGCTGCGAAGTACTCGCTCACAATCAATCAGGCGAAGTGCACCTTCGGGAGCACATCTGTCAAGATACTGGGGCACGTGATCGAGAACAGGACCATCCGACCAGATCCAGACAGGCTACAGGCACTGATGGAGCTGCCTGTACCGCAAGATGCAAAGTCTCTGAAGCGCGCAATGGGTATGCTGTCGCACTACTCGAAGTGGGTTCCGGGGTTCTCGGAGAAGTTGCAACCGCTCTCTGCTACCTGCAGCTTCCCGCTGTCTCCGGGAGCCATCCACGCGTACGAGACGCTGAAGAGGGACATCGGTTCGGCCACCATGTCGGCCGTCGACGACTACGCCACGTTCGTCGTCGAAACTGACGCTTCAGACAGTGCAATCGCCGCAACACTGACGCAGAACGATAAGCCAGTGGCGTTCTTTTCTAGAACCTTGAACCCCTCTGAAAAAAGGCAACCATCCATCGAGAAAGAAGCTGCAGCAATCGTCGAGGCGATCCGCAAGTGGCGCCATCTGCTGATCGGAAAACACTTCAAGCTGTTAACTGACCAGCGTTCAGTCTCGTTCATGTTTGACAAAACATGCAAAGGTCGAGTCAAAAACGACAAGATCCTTCGGTGGCGTCTAGAACTGGCCTGCATGAGTTTCGACATCGTCTACCGACCTGGAATCTACAACACCGTGCCAGACATGCTGTCCAGGGCCGGACAGGTATGTGGAGCTGTTTCGGGCGGGTCCCGAGAGGCTATTCGTCACCTACACGATCAGATGTGCCATCCCGGTGTCACTCGCTTGAGCCATTACCTGCGCTGTCAGAATATTCCTTTCTCAGTGGACGATGTCAGAACTGTTATATCGCAATGTCGAACTTGCAGTATATGCAAGCCCTCTTTCGTTCGGTTGTCGGGTACCCTGATCAAGGCCACGCGTGTGTTTGAACGTCTAAGTGTAGATTTTAAAGGACCACTACCGTCTTGTACTGAGAGAGCTTATTTGTTCGTGGTGGTGGACGAGTTCTCGCGTTTCCCCTTTGCGTTTGCTGTGAAGGACACGTCTGCCGAGACCGCCATTCAGTGCCTGACATCACTTTTCACAGTGTTCGGCACTCCCGAGTTCGTGCACTCCGATCGTGGAGCCGCTTTCACATCAGTGCGGTACAAGGAGTTTCTCGCGATGAACCGGATTGCCCAAAGCTTCTGTTCAGCGTACAACGCTCCAGGTAATGGGCAGACTGAGCGATACAATGGTACGATTTGGAAGGCTGTAACCCTGGCATGTCATGACAAAGGCATCAGCCTCCGAGAGTGGGAGACTGTGCTTCCATTGGCGCTGCATAGTGTGCGTTCGCTGCTCTGCACCGCCACGAATCAGACTCCTCACGAGCGCTTCTTCTCACACCCTCGCAGGTCGGCATCGGGCCAGGCGCTCCCTACGTGGCTACTCGGTGCTGATCGTGTTCTGCTGAAGCGCACCAATCGAGCCAGCAAGTACGAGCCGCTGGTGGATGAGGTTGAGCTTGTACATGTGACTCCAACATACGCTAAAGTTCGACTACCTAGCGGTAGAGTGCCTACTGTCTCTCTTCGGCATCTGGCTCCAGTTGCGCGTTCTGATGGTGCGGAACCGACGTGTGAGGCTGGATCTGAGGTCGATGTTGGAGTTGGACTGGGTTCGTCCGATGACGGGAGTGGTTGCGTCGAGACAGAGATGGGCCCTGCTGAGGCTGAGCAGGCTGTGGTGGGCCCAAGCCCGCACTGTGATCGCAATGGGGCTATGAGGCAAGAGGCAACCAGTGTTCAAACTGAGAATACTGATCTGCGTAGGTCGACGCGAGTTAAAAGGAAGCCACGGTGGATGGACGACTATGATGCGTGATGTGTGAGGTATGCGATGCTGCGCGTTGCGTTGCTTTAGGACCATTCGCTTTGGTTCATTTGCATTTTATGCATTCGCTAGGGAGAAGTTATGTTCTTTTTGACAGGGGGTGAATGTCGTATGTGTGTCTTACACTCCGTGCCTTGTGTTTCAGATGTTGCTAATAAAAGCCTAGCATCAGGCATTGTCTCTGAATCACCACATAAGGGACAAGGATCGTCTTATTAAGTGGACGCACGCTAGTATCGCTGTCCTTTCCGTCACGCAAGGCTGATGCCCGACCCCACTCCAACTGAAGACCCGGCCTGCCGGGACACGCGACGCCGTCTTGGACCTTCGCAACGGGCGACCCGCAGGAGTTTATAGAGCGGCCACCCATCGCATGCATGGAGCCAGTTCATCAAGAGTTCACGGGTCATTGAGTGTAGAAGTAGCCCGCGGCTTCTTGATTTTATGTCTGCTTGGTTTCTACGAAACACCGCCGTGGGATGAATAAATCATCCTATTGCCCGTGCTCGTCGAAACGATGTGGAGCTCAAGCATCTTACTCTTGAATTTGCTAGATTACACAACCACAAGGGATGAAGCGTACTATGTGCTATTAATTGTGCGTCTAATCCTTTTACCTAAAGAAGTGTTTCTTACGTAAGCCTATCACTTTGGTTATATTCGGCTGTAGTCGCACCTACAAAGTGGCCGGTCGAAATGGCCATCCAGCTGCCTGTCGTACCTACCTGTTTCACCCATTCCTTCTCGCTCTGCTGCACCACTGTGGCATACGTGTTGCCCATCATGGCGATCAGCATGTTGAGCAGCAGGATGGGCACCAGCACCATGAACAGGACGAACGTGATGAGCATCAGCGGCGCGTAGGCGCTGCGGGACAGCTCGCCGAACTGGGAACGAGGCGCAAAGAGATGGCAGTCATTCGCGGAACATCAACGGCTGAAACCGTCCAGGAGTGAGAGCCCAACATCGCGCTGCAATGCACCATTTCCCGCATTGTTTGCAACCTCTTCTGGACTACCATTTATCTTTAACTTTATAAAACAAGAGAGCGACGAGATGGCTGCGAGGCAAATGTCACCGAGTTAGCGCGACGCTCCGATATTCACTCACGTCATAGTCGCCGAGTGTCATATGGAAGAGGCCCATCCAGGTGTCAATGTAGTTTGAGAACTTGGACGAGGCGCGGTTGGGACTGCCCTTGTAGAGGAAGAAAAACGCCTGCGAGAAGGCCAGCAAGAATATGGAGTAGATGATGAAGAAGGTGACCATGTCGTTGGTGATGATCTTGAAGATCATGGTCACGAAGGGGCCGGTCAGCTGAATTGCTCTGCAGAAGAGAATAACATTGTTTCATTAGACTTTGCATCATGCAAGAATCACACAGCGGAATGTTTACTCCAAGAATGTTTACCCCTTTTCTTTGGAAAGGGTACCCACTACCCACTTCATCAAACGGTCTTCAAAGAAACAAAGCGCCTGAAACATGCAATGAAATGGAAGCATGCGATCAGAGCTCTACCGCTACCGAGCGCGTTTCGATTTCTCTCAGCTCAGTTCAGCTCTCTCGCCGAGAATCAGTACCTTCCAGGTGCTCCTAACCTGCAGTTTCACTGCACCTCCATCACCTCACCCGGCGAAGAACATGAGGTGGAACCAGGATCCGACGACGGCGATGGTGAGCACCAGTTCCTCGACGGCTCTCAGGTCGAGCAGACGCAGCGGGATGCAGCCCAGCAGGATGGCGTTGGAGATGTTGAACAGCAGCTGGATCGGGTCGTGGAACTGTGGACACAGGGATATTGCACAAATCATTCAACTGCGCGCGCGGACGAGAGCAGCCTGAGGACGGTCGTGGAACAGCGCACGCGGGCAAGCAATGCGAGTCGTAGAAATGAGGGGGGGGGGGCTGCTTAACCGCATATACTGCAATAGCATGAGTCTTGACGGAGAACGGTGAAGATGATTTTGACAACATTCATTCTTTATGTGATATCTGCTATAAAGAAACTAAAATGATAGGAATAAATGACCTGCAAACCAAGCAAAGTACAACATAAAAGGATAAATAGTTCTATCAATTAGTCTCCCTCACTCACCAGCTGTATGATGAACGGCACCAGCCCCTGGTTCTTGATCTCGCTGCCCGACTGCACTATCAGATAGTACGCCGAGCCGAGCAGGGTGGTCACCTCGAAGCAGTAGCGCCCGATGTCTTGTGGCCGGGTTCCGAGCAGGGTACGGTCGTACTCTGGCCGCAGGTACATCGCAACAGAGATGGACACCAGGTGCAGCATCATGATCATCAGCTTCCGCAGAAACTCCGCCTGACGGACCAACAGCGTCACTTCTTAAATAGCCACTCACTGGCGATATAAAATGGGTGGCCGGGAATTCAAGAGGTCGGTGCACTTATTGTTTATTGTTTATTGTTTATTGAACACTTAAGAACTCATCCATACAACATGGCTATTCTTGAGTTCGTGTCATAGGTGAAATAGTAAATACAAGGGGATGGTGACGCAATCAGGCACACATAAAAATACATAGCCCACCCGCACGCATACTTTCTAAAATTGGCCCAGACGCCGTTTCACATTCCTTTTAAAAGCGCCCGGTGGTTGCTGATTGCTCCCTGACAACGAGAGGCAGGGCATTGAAAGCCGACACAGCACGGTACAAAAATCTCCTTCGGCCGGACTCGGATCTTATCCGTGGAAGAGCGAGGTCTGCGTCCTGACGTGTGTTGCGCTCTCTCCCCTCTCCTACTGTGGAGAGCTGCTCGGCGATATCCTGAGGAGCGCCGGTCACCAACATGCGCTTGAGTAGGCACAGAGTGTGGTAAGTGACCAGTTCACGAGCCGGGAGCCAGGTGAGAGTTCTAAGTGCGTCACTCACGCGGTCATGCTTGCGCCGCCCCGTGATAACTCGTGCACCGAAGTTAATCACCTTTTGAACACGAGACATGTTTTTGGCGACCGCAGTACCATAGACACTGATACAATATCTCACGGTTGACAGAACCAATGCGTTGACAATAGTGATGAGAGTCTCTTTCGGTAGTCTATATCTGGCATGACTAAGACCTATAAGAAGACCAGTGCATCGTCCGACAAGCTGATCTATATGGTACTCGTAAGACAGCGTGCGGTCCATCACCACGCCCAAGTTTTTGACGCGATCACTCTCGTGGATGGTACTGCCGCTCACGGTAAGGGTAACAGGCGGAACACCTCGTAACATTTGGCGCGTACCCAAAACTATAAGCTGCGTCTTGCTGGAGTTCAGTTTCAAGGAATTTTGCATAAACCAGCGATGCAGGGTGTTTAGTGCACACTCCATGCGATGAACCAGTGATGCGATGTCACTTTGACGGCAGAAGATCGCGTAGAGCAGTTATAGAATATCATGGTTAGAAAGTTAATCAATAATTTATCGAATATCTAGGTAATCATTAATTTAGTAACACAACTTACGAACAGAACACGTTCAAGAAAGAAACACAAACCATGGGCAAAAACAATAGTTACCTACTTACACTAATTAGCTGTTCATTTTGTACTAAAAAAAGATCGTATTATGACTGGTGTGTATTTTCATTGATAAGTTATATCGGCGCCTCTTTGCTACCAAGCGACCAGTGCTCACCCGTGCAAACGACTGCCACTTTTCCTCGAGAAGCCTCTGAATGATGCCGCCTTCCAGCATGTCCAGATGTTCGTCCTTCTTGCCGTTGAGAATCATCATCAAAGCAGAATTCCAGTCTATAAGAAACGAGAGTATTTGTCATTTTAATGCGGGAAATCTCTATACCGATTACATTCATCCAGCGTAAAAAGGTGTCTTCTTGCACAGGCTGTAGTTTTCGGAGACGTAGTTCCTCAAAAAGGGAAACATGCCAATTGCCAAGGAAGGACTTCCCCTGTTCGGGCATTAGCAACCTCATATATCCTGGACTCTGCGCGCCGTCCTTCGCCCATTCTTTCCATTCATAACTTCTGCGGCCTACCTGACGGCCCCCCCTCCCCATCTCCTCCTATTCTGGCTCTCACTTGTCTTGCCGTCCGGTCCGATGGTGTCCAGTGCGTTCAGCGGGTACGCCGAACAGGTGATGTTGGAGTAGCGCCAGAACTCGACGCAGGTCAGCTCCAGCATCTCCCGGAAGATCTCCGAGCGCGCCAGCCGACAGGCGAGTGTGAGAGGTGTCAGACCGGCGGCATTCAGCTCGCCGTTTCTGGCAGGACAGCGCGGGTGGCGTAACGCGTAACCGAACATCTCCTCCGACTGACCCTCGCCCTGAGGGAGAGTATGGAGAGAGGGGTTAGTGGAAGCGGCACCGGTGGGGATCTGGTTGGCATGTGTGGCACGGATACACGACAGTCATTAGCTACTAGCAAATAGCTAGGGAAGGTGGCTGTTTTGAGCTCAGTCAAGAATGAGTTGATCCAGGTTGTTTTGAGCTTGAGAACGAGTTGTTTTATCGGAAGATTATACAGGTTAATTAAATTTTCCTATAGTTTCAAAGCGAGTCGTTACGTAATCGGGAATCCGTAAACAATCGATACAAATAAGTGAGCTTGTAGTCGTTTGTGAGGACTTTTTCCGGAGCTTGAACTAATGCAAGCTCACCTGTTTATCGCAGACGACGATCATGTGCAGCACCATGTTCCCAAACGAGTCCTTGGCGTTTGGGTCGGCATCCCGGTCAACCAGCATGTTGTAGCAGGTCTCGTTGTTGCAGCAGGCGGCCCAGTTGAGTAGCGTCTCACCCAGATAAGCAAGGCCCTCGTAGTCGGTCTGGGTGCGAGGCACCTCCCGCTGCTGGTCTTTGGGAAGGAAGAAACTCCCTGGGCAGACGGTAACGGGTCAGTTGCACGACTGGTAGTCCCTATTTTACGGACAACGTTATTTACTGAACTGAAAAGGGATTCATGCTGCCGTCAATTATATGTATACTCGCTCAACGTTACAAACACATCAAAGTGTTGTCATAGATTAGGTAGGTTACAGGGACCGTTTAAACGAACAACAGATAGTCTCAGAGTTAGACGATCAATGATTCAGAATGGCCAGAACATAGGTATTTACGTTCCTAACGTATGCTTTACGACATTCTCTAAAAGCTTTAAAACGAGCGTCAATCGAGCAAAGGAATTCTGAATGCTGGGATGTGCTCGTTGGTATCATGCCCGCTCAACAGATGTCGCTAGTAATAGACGCCTGTGAGTTATGCTGTTCCGCGGCGCAGCAAAGCCTAGCGGGATAGCATGCATACCTCTCAGGCAATAGTCCGCGCGCGATTGGGCGTGAGCTAATGGGTCGTAATGTTGAAGAGTTGAAGGGTCCATAAATTTGCTTGCGTAGTGCAGTTTTATTTCAGCTTACCTATTGCCCGTTGGTCGACTTTTGCGTTGCATTCAATGAGCTGCGTCGCAAGTTCGTTGTTATTGTATGCTATCGCTAAATGAAGACAACTGGCACCTGAAACACAGGTTCATAATTATCTCCTACGGTTGAAATCCGGCAAAAATCACAGCAGACACTTCAACAATTTGATTCATTCGTTAAATCGTTATTGTGCCCTCCTTACCTAGATACTCCTGGCCCTCGACCACGTCCACAGCCAGTTTGGGGAAGCACTTGAGCAGGATTTTGGCGATGCGGGTGTGGGTGCGTGTGTTGCAGATGATGAGCACGTGCAGCAGCGTCTCCCCCAGGTTGCCGCGGTACTGCATCTGCCAGCAGGCCTCGTGGTCTTGCCAGAAGTTGAGCGGGTCGAAGCGGCTCTTGACACCCGGCTCCATGTTGAGTGCATACTGCCATGCATGGGAGAGGATGATCAGATTATGTGGGACTGTTGGGTAAAGCCTACGAGTGCTTAGCACAAAGCTAAGTTCAAATACAGCCGACTGAGGCAGACTCTCTGCAAGTCTTTTGTGTAGTGTGGTGCCACGCGAACTCTAAGGCTTGCGCTCAGCATCGATTTTTTACGCATTTAGATGTCACCCCACCACCCCACCTTCTGGGCGGACTCGAGGCATCCCCTTGCCTTCCCGGCCCCACCACCCAGCCGTCTCTGAGCAGGCAGACTCAAAGTATCCTCCCTCGCCGCCCCCGCCGTGGCTCCGTGGTACGGCCCGACACGGCCAGCAGGCGGCACAAAAGCCGGCACGGTCACGCAGATGGTCGAGGGGGAGGGGGCCGAGTCGGGGCGCCTATCGTGCCGCCCGTGTCGCCCCCCCCCCTCCCCTCGACTGGTGGTGGGTCTGCCGACTCCCATACGCACGACCATCAACGCGGCATTGTCCCATGGGGTGGGTCGATTTCAAGACAGCGGCACGCTAATCTCATGTATCGCCAATATGCGTCAGTGTCCCGCTATGCGTGCCGATACACTAGTTCAAGCGATCCATGCCGTCACCTGTTTTATCAGTGCCTTGCAGTGTTATTGGTCACACCTCGCGAAAGCAATTATCGCGTGTCAGGGTGGTCTGACATTTTGTGGGGAGCGTTGACGTGTCTACGTTGACACCAATCCAGACCGCCGAGGCGCTAACTATTGTTTATCGTTCCTAAAGTTTCAAGGCCTCCTAATTTTTCGCATTGGCCTGGGCTACTATATCAAATATCGACACCGATATGTAGGCCCAGGCAAGACTGATAAATCGTTTTGCTGCGATCGATGCTAGAGCGTTTTGTGTAAGCTGTAAACATACCGCGTAACCTCAATAGCCTTCGTAACGCATAGGCTTGACGCTCAATATAACCATTACGCGTATCTGCAAGCTTGGCACTACTCGACACACCGCAGCCGGCCGTCGGTCTGTCGCTACCCACCTCGTCTCGCGTCCTGCCGCGCAGTTTCCACTTGAGGTACTCGGTGCGGGTGATCTCCTTTCCTCGGCCGTCGTTGTACATGAACACGGCGAACTGGTCGAGGATGAGCCGCTCCACCTCCCGGCCGCCGCCGAGACGGTACGCGTCCATCAGCTCTCCACCTGTACAGAGTTGGGGCAGGGGATATCAGACGGTATGCATCTATCAGCTCTCCTCCTGAACAGAATGGGGAGTGGGAACAACGGACGGTGAACGTCCAGCAAGTGTCGCCTGGAAATCAGTTTTCCTTGTCGCGAGACACTGGTTCGTTTTGGTTCAAACCCCATCCTCAATAGGTGACCGAGTGACATAAGGCATTCTTATTTTCGTTTATTGTTCTCCTGACTTATTTTCTGTTTTGTATTCGACCTACCCTTTTTGTAGTTGGCGAGTTTGTAGAGCAGACACTGTCCCTCCTCGTGCGACTGTGAGATGACCTGGTCGAGCGCGCCGGCCGGGTCGTTCCACTGGGAGCCGCGGGTCTGTAGCTGACCCATGCTGGGGTCCACATCGCCGCCGCCGGCCAATCAGCCGCCGTGGGGTCTGTGAGACACAGGCGGGGATGCAGTTACTGCAGTGGCCACTGGACAGTCATTGGGAGGAAGATGGTCGTTGACGGACGCTGCTACTAGCAGGTGACAGGCGGATAGAACATTGTGGGACGCTGCTAACTGTCGACGTGTATACAGTACAGTCCACTGTTGGACGTAACGAATGACGGACGGACGGATGGCTATAGCATGGCTATAGGTTACAGCTAGGAACCCACGGACGGACGGACGGACGGACAGGGCGTCTTATAAACAGGCGGCAGGGGACAGGATGCCTGTCGAATATAATAACCTAAGGACTGACTGGCCACTGTCGGACAATGTCGAGTCTTTAGGTCAATGTTGTTGGCTTTCAGAGTTACTGTTTGTAGTGACTACCCGCCGGTGTCGTCTACTCGGTCACTATATGTACAGGTCACTGTCATGGGTGTCGATTTTCACAGAGTTGAGGGTGCCCGGGCGCGGCAAATCCGCCGCCGCCCTAGCGGTGACCTTGACCCGCGCCGCCTGTTAGGGCTCCAAAGCCAAGCCGGCCGAGCCGGCGGGGTATTTAGAGAGCCTGGGCACCCCCAACCCGGCGGAAATCGACACCTATGGTCACTAGGTTGCGATTCACCACTACTGGCCACTGTGGGTTATCTAATTACAATGTCTTTGCTATGGCCCTGAGTGGCCGGTGCTGGACCATTTTATGTCTAGTAGGTAGGTATGGTATGGCAGGCATGAATCATGAATGGTTGGTATATGTATAATATAGTTTGTGTTTATAGCATCGAATGTGTGACGGTTATCTGCTGAATTATCATAGAGACATGCTCGTATTCGAATCAATTGAGGTACATATGAACAGACTCAATTATGAAGCCTTGCTGTTACCTATATGATCTCTTTCAAAGATGCTTCATCATTCAAACACACGCCTCTTAAAAAGAACCAATCATATCTATTTTGAAGATGTTTCATCATCCAGCGTTTCTACTTCGATGTCTTTATTACCACAAAACTACTTCGCTGTTGAAAGCTTTGGTTAGCATGGCTATTATGCCGTCAAATTATGCCATTCGCCGCTTTATCATGCGCTTTATTTCCCCAAATGAGCTTCGATTAGTCAAAGGTGCCGATTCATGCTGATGAATATACAAGCAACTGAGCCTGATAATAAAATTGTTGTTTATCATTGGACCATGACTACAATATGAACGGCGAACGCACATGTCTTAGACGCATTGTGCTTATCAAGCGCTACAAATTTCTTTACTCGTAGTGATCATAAGGCAGAGTGACCTTAATATATCAGTGGGTATTGATTAAATACTGCTGGGAGCTGCCGTCCGTGCGAGTGCTCCTGCCGTGCTATCGATTTAATAGAAACTGCCTCTGCTGGCGGGATAAGTTGAAATGCGGACCAAAGTTTAGGCACAGTTACTCACCGGTTCATCAGTAATAAATTATAATCGTGTCATGCATTATGGGACGGACAAGACACGCACTTTAGCCTTTATGAATGACAAAAAGTGGTATTTCACGGAAGTATCTATGTAGGTATTTTGGTCATGAGCTAAACCTGACCTGAAGGGTCCTCTTCCTCGCCATACCTATCGGTTTTCTGCATACAGGCCGAGGGAAGGGTGTGGTCTACCGTTTCTCACGTTATTAGTTGGAGCTTCGTGAAAACAGCCTGTTAACGACAAACTGTGATTGACATCCAATACCATGGTCAAAATTAACCGACCCAGAATTCAGTTGCCAACTCTCTTCTCATTAGCGATAGCATTCCTACTATAAAAAACGAACTTACGGCGCAGCTCTTGAAATGCAAGGCAAACCAGAACAACGAGCTAAGGAAAGCTACAGGAAAACTGAATCAAAGTTATTCAGCACCCAGCAGTCCTTCCTTCCCCTCCAACGAGTAACCTACCGTTTCAACAGCTCACGCTGTATGGCATGCGAAAGATTGCCTGTGTTGTATACTATCCCGCAGAGCGTTGCTGCACTGCGGCACAGCCTACCTCTCAGGCTTCTACTACTAGCGACATCTGTTGAGTGAACTTGATAACATGGCCGGAACCGCGCATCTATACGGACTCGTTTGCAAATTTTTGCAAATGACTAGCCTGGGTTAGTTTTCAAACGTCTCTGACAATGCCCGCGCCCCGCTAGAGGTCCTGGATTTCCACGCCCTGCTGGGGGGGGGGGGGGGGGAGGCGAGGGTGTTTAAGCACCTCCCTGCTAACTCGGCTCTTGGGCCACGTAGCGATACGTTGAAGGCGAAAAATAATGACGAAATCACTCAGTCACATTTTGGCCAGGTCAAAGGTCAGGTTACTAGAGGTCATTGAAGGCAAAATTTCGCCGATTCTCAGGTCAAGTGCAGACAATTTCCCAGAAGCCAACGCATAACTCGGGAACCAATAGAGCTACAGCACCGCGGAAATCGCATTCTATAGCCATATTAACGCACTTTCTGAATAATTATCTTAGATTTGACCTAGCGTCAATGGGTTTGCCTGCAGGGGGCAAAAACTGCCAAAATAGCCGATTTTTGAAACAGTGTTTTTATGCAATAACTTTCGGCTCAAGCCTCGCACGAGCTTACTTTTACCGGCATCGTGTTCCTCTCGTCAAAACGTATCGAACGAACTGTAATTTGACCTTGAAAGGTCAACTTGAAAATCTGACCACAGGTCAAGGACATGACCTGATCGGAAAGGGTCATGCTGCATATCAGTCGATCGATCCGTATCGCCGAGCTAAACACATCCAAGGCGTTTTCATCGCTCTAGCATGTGCCTCTTATCAAAAGTTATTCGCGAAAAACTGTTAGATATGTACCATTCGTGACCTGAGATGACTTCAGGGGCATAAACAGGGGTCACGGATACCATTTTCATCTTCAGTATGTCTTAGTTACCTGTAATTCTGTGTTTGGGAGTGTTAATAATGCCTTTCGTCCGAAACAGGCGCCTTTCAATTTTCTACCATTGACAATTTTTTCCCATGCATTGATATCAATTTTCTCCCAATGAGGAGGTCGCAAAATTGACCTGACCTTAGGTCATTGATGTCAAAATTTTGAGACAAACATTTTGTACATACTATTGCTCTCAGCAATCGCTGCAAGTTTCAAAGCGATCGGTCACTCGGTGTACCTATGGCAGACAACTATTTATGAAGTGAGGTCACTAAGTGACCCGGTGACCTGACCTTGAACGACCTTGATCTGAAATTTTTACAACATGTGCACAATTGATGTATGATAAGGTGTGCCAAAAACCACAGAGGGGGGGGTGTTCAAGCCCCCCTCCCACCAGCGCGTGGGTTATGCAAAGTTAACCTTCGCCCGTATCGACCTTTTTACGTTGGCTTTTTTATCGACCTTTTACGGAAAGGAACTGCTTGATTACGGAGCGAGCGAAGCGAGCGGAGTCTTACGTAGAATAACGGAAATTTCTGAGTATGAGCGGCCGGCCGGCCGGCCGGCCGGCCGGCCGGCCGGCCGTGCGGACGCTTTTGCGAGGCTTATATCTCAGCAACCACTTGACCGATTTACACGCGGTAATTTTTGTAGGGTAGCTTCATTCCTTCTACCAAGTATTGGACTATTCCCGATGCATGTGGGTGACCCCTTATGCACGTGCCACGTGCAAAACGAAGAGGTGTCACTTTTGTAATTGTTGCAATATCTCGGTAACTACTTGGCCGATTGCGCTGAAACTTGGCATGTAGGTAGGCACCCACTAGGCACTGCATATCCATGTGCCAGAGTTGGGGTGCTGCTGCACGTGCGCACGTGCAGGGGTCGTTTCCAGATCTCGAGAACGGCTGGACCGATGGCGCTCAAATTTGGTACACGGTTAGGGACCAGTTAGTAGGGTGCCGTGCACAAGTCAGTTGGGACCCATTTAGCACGTGCGCACGTGCAGGGTGCCGCTCCCAGATCTCGAGAACGGCTGGGCCGATTGTGCTCAAATTTGGCACATCGCTAGAAACCGGTCAGTAGGGTGCCGCGCACAAGTCAGTTGGAGGTACCCCCTCGAAATTTCGCACGTGCAAGACTCACCCCCTCGCTCGCTCCGTTAGTCGCCCCAAAAGGCGCTATACTGGTAGGTACTGTTAAGGAAAGGAAGCATTTGGCCCAAGTTGTTCCGCCCCTGATGGTTCGTGGAATACCTAAAACCGGCAAGCTGCGATGACGAAACAAAGCCAATGGTGTCAACTTTTTTGTTTTGAGGTCATGATTATTTCATCTCCCAGGCTGGTCCATTCTCTATAAATATAAAAATCATTTTCTGTAAACAAATTCAGCTCGGGTGTCAAATTAGTTTGTAGAAAGGATGAATGGATTGCCGGAGCGGGAGCCCAGCCCAGGGTACGCTAAGCAGAGCTTGTTGTGTGTATCCCATTTGTTTCCGTCTGATCGGGCAACGCTAAGGAATGGGAGAGTGTATAAATTAGATGCCAAACTTCAACGTCCCCAGCTTACATTCGGCCGTTTCAGGGAGAGTGCCGGTGCCCCTTCGGCTACATCGGATCTGTTTGAGTACCTACAAATCCAGCAACCAACTCACCCTAGCTTTTTGGAGACTCTTAGAATGATTTGCAGCACCGTCCGAGACAGTCCCCGTAGCCACATACAAGACCTACTCGCGGACAGTTCTGTTCTTACTTCTTCTGCAGGCCTGGTGCTTTGGGATAGATCCTGTTTTGCAAATATCCGCTCTTCGCGGGATTCACTGTATTACGGTTATTGTCATTAGTCCTGGCACCCGCTCACAGTCTCCAGCAAGGCTTAGGAGGGACACTTAATGGTGAGTTCACTTCTACTATACGGTCCAAAACCACGAGATCCGGTGCATGAATGATTCGAGACGCTGCAGTATTTTTTTTTCTGCGCTCAGAACGGCTCGTGCGTCTTCCTTGTAAGTCAGTTCTTTTCCTACTTCCACTGTCACAAATGTGTTCACTCAGGTAATCCACTAAAGCCGTCGCTGTAGTTTATCTTGTTATTCACCGTGACGTGCTTATGTTGGCAAACCTATTTTGCCGCTTTGTATACAGCGCCGGATGTTATATCGACGCTCCTGAAGACGGCAACTCTGAACAAACCCACTCCACTCTTTCGGCTCGCTCCCGAGGGCCGCTGCCCGTCTCACTCACTCCCGACCCGTCCGTCGCCTCGGGCGCTACACAGCTGGTCGGTCGGGCCGGCCCGGGCCCGGCACTAAGCTCGTGAACGACGACGCCGACCGTCGCCATAGCAACCGGGCCCCGAGGTCAGGCCATGTGCCCCGGGGTCCGATATTGGCTACACCTGGGAGCAGCCGTGGATCCGTATGAGACCGTATCAGAACAGAGGAAGGTCACATGTTTTTGAAGGTGCGCGGTGACTGATATACCTAGTCTGTCGTTACTCGTTCGTTTTGCCGCAATTGTTGTCTTGTTATTGCCGGTATATTATTCGTCGTAACTCGTACCTAATTGTATATGTACGTTTTTCACATAAGCATTACGTCCTGCCGTCCATCATTCACATGCTTTTGTTCAAGTTCAACCGTATTCAACTTGGATGATCCTCATCGTGAAGCCGCCGGTGGTGGGCCGGGCGGAACAGTATACCTTCCAGGGGCCCCAGCGGTGTGTCGAACGGGACAGCATACCTCCCAGGTGTACTGGCAGAGCGTCGGGACAGCATACCTTCCAGGGGCGATGGCAGTGTGTCGGGCGGTACAAAATAACTGTTAGGAGCACCGTCGAGCTCTGTGCGTGGCCGCTGCTCAACGTAAGAAGCGTAACGGGTTGTTATTAGGTATATTGTCATGTTTTTCGAAGACCCATTTTTTTCTAACGTCCAAACTATCCATCCCAAGAGCACAAGGTTCAAGATCGCTCATGAGGCATCATTCCGGCCCATTTCACCATCCTATTCCTACCTAGGTATCGGGAGTTACGCGACCACCATAGTTGATGAGTTGCATTGTGTGATTACACACCCGTCTCATGACTAGCGTGTCCGCTTGCGATCGACCCGCGCCGGTCCTTTCTGGAGCGTTCCATATTCCGTAGGTATGACCCGGTCATAGCCCGGGCTCCAGGACCAACCTGTCCGGTGAGTGACCCAAACCACTCCGCGATCCCCGTTGACCTTGGGACTTACGGTGGGTTATCACTCGGCCAGAGTTGTTCCGAGGTAGTGCGAGGCTCGATAAAGCGGGCTAGTGACTCAAATTCGGAGGTTAATCGGGTGGCTGCTCGGACGGACGGGGCTGGTATTCGCACGCAATAAACCTGATACTATTTGATTTCATATTTTCCATTTTCAGCAGTTGATCGAGCATGCCGCGGTGAACGGCTATGAGATATAAGTGTGGTAAAGACTAGTTTATGCATCCTGTGATCATTGAAAGACGATGTAACAAATGTTGAAAATAGCAGGTCTCGGTAAAATAAATGAATTCGAGTAAAATGTCTTTATTTTCAAAATCAACAATTGCAACAGACGGGTTAACACATACGCACTACGCAGTCATACAAATTGACTTCAGTGACAGACGTCCCGTTTCGCACACAGCGGGCAGAGCGAGATGCCTTACTGCGCCCACAGCGGACACTGAGAGCGCAGACTGGACTGAGCCGCGAACCTCAGACAGACCGACGCAGACACAGGTCCCAGAAACGAAGAGAGAGAGAGAGAGAGAAACGAGATAAGAGTGGAAGACACTGGGACTTCTGCTTCGTTTGTCGTGTTCAGAAAAAAAGGTGCTGCCGAAACAGTAACATCATTGCTATGTAGATGTGAAGCAGAGAAACAATGCTGTCAATGTTTGCATATTGGCATCAGTGGCAATATATCTGCAAAGGATCGGCAAAAAAGAACGACTTAAAAACAGCTGACGAGTACTGAGTACGTAACAAAAAAGGCTTCGGAAAAACATCTAAATACCGTCTCTCACGAGTCAGGAAATAATGGCCACTGATTTGAACTCAGCACTATCAGTCATACAAAGCTCGTCGAGTCCTCCATTCGTATTGCCATTAGTAGTACACGGTCAGCCAGTGACCAATCGTGGTTAGTTCAGGGTGTTAACGCCCCAGCCCACCACATACACACACTATTCCCTCCCCACCCCGAACGTTCAACTCACAGTCTCTCTATTCGACAAAATGGAGCATCGCAAAACCTAATAAATCCTGCGGTTTGAGTTTCACATACAATCACGCCTCAGGTAAAGTTCATTTCACACCGTAGGCATTGCTCAATGCCGCATCTCGCGCAGTCCGTGCGAATCAGCGCCCGGCAGCACAGCCATTAGAGCAGGCCTCCGACGAACTGGTCACACAGCCATCAGAGCGGGCAGCCTCGTAGCGGCTGTTGGGGGCCGATGACGTCATCAAACGGGCCAATGACGTCAGCAGAACGTCCCGGCAAGCACCAGACGATTGGACAGCCGTGCTGGCGGCGGGCAGAACGGGTGGCGCCCCCACCTCCGGCGCGGCAGAGTCCGGATCTAGGCGCGCCCTCGGCCGCCCGAAGATCGTTTGCGGCCAACACCGGGCCAGTCTATACGAGTCTCCCTGGAAGTGAGGGAAGAAAAAGCATGAATGTAGGAGTAAATGGAGTGAGTGATGTGAGTGAGCGAATTCCGATACCCCACAAAGCCCAGGCGTGAGTACACAAACTTTCCCAAAAGAAAGGTCACATTAGAAGAATCATTTGAAAACAGGCAAAGATTATGTTACGCGTTTAAAAAGTGGTCCCAGAAAGTTACATGACTTTTTGTAGTCATTCACGACATTCACTGAATCTACATGAATTTGTCAAGCCAGCGAAATATGTAGGTCCAAACTCCAAACAGCAAGAGATCTCCAAAGATATCAGAGGAGCGGGTGAGATTACAGATGACACTACCTGCAGTGGTCGTCCTGAGGCCGCCGTCAGAGACGGCCGTCAAAGGTAGGCCGCCAAAAGTACTCGCCCGGCTCTGCAGGACACGGGACACAGCCAGAGGGGTTAGTGAACACGGGTCGGACACGGCACACACCTCTTAGTGGGGCACAAGGACGGACACATGCGAGTGACAAAGACACGTAGACGCATACCGACGCGCTGCTAGGTTGGTTACTGTCATTATTGATGGCTTTGTAAAGAAGTATGCCATTTATGTTATTGACGTTACGCACAAATCACAATCACAACAGATATGTGATACACAATTCAAAGGAACTTTCAAATTACACATTGTGTAATTAATTGGGACAGTGTGAGTGAACAAGTATGCAGGGACCCTACTAAAAAAAGGTGATGGGTGAACACGATTTCAGTCGTCGCGCCTGAGACAAACTGTGCGTGTAAAAAGGTGGCGAAAGATAAAAATCGTCAGTTACGTGTGCCGTGCCATGTAAAGGCTACGGTGAACGACGAACGTAAACAGTGTAACGAACATGCGTGCAGCTAGTGATAGGAGCCAATCATCACAGAAAACGTACACACTAATGGCTGTCTTTCGGCTTTATCTTGAACGTGATTGTTGACACTTTCGCTGCGGAAGAGTAGCAAACGAGATTCAGTATCTTCACCGCGGGCCGTTTACTATCAGTGTTGAAACAATACCATTACTTATTTGGAGCGACCAATCATTTTGAGGCCAACAGGAACGAGAACAGAGACAATGCCTAATCATGATGCTGGAACATATGCACTTGGTTTATTTTCATCCTAACCCGAACTCACTTTTTGGGGGCGACTGTGAGGCGGACCCCGTCCTCCTGACGACGGTGGTCCTGTGGCGCGTTCCGCCGGCCGGCGCGGCCTCATCCTCGTGCTGACTGCCGCCGCTGTCGGAGCTCTCAGCCGTCGCCGCCGTCGACGTCGCCGACGCAGCCGGGTGCGAGCCGAAAGACGAGTGTCTGCGGGAGAGAGTAGGGGAAGGGTAAGAGGGTTGGAAGCCTGGTGACGACGGAACATAGCTGTCGGCAGCGTTTGATCGCCGAGATGGCGCAGAGAGACGTACAGGGCAGCTGGTGATGCGTGCTAATAGGGTGAGATACTTTGTCAGTGGTCTATCTATCGCATTAACTGTGAAGGATGGAGGTAGTGAACATACTCAAGCGCAGCAATTAACATTTTGAACCGCAATCAGTGTATAAAGGAGGACCGATAGGGTGGGTATTTAATTTTATCGGCAAGATGATTCAAATTACGATACATACGAATTACGAACACATGAAACAATATGAAACAATACGAACAGAAGATGACAATGTTGAAGGTATTTCTGCAATCAAATTGGTATTGCGCTAAACCAACCAACTATGTACGCTTGATCATTTTCTCCGTTGCTGTGCTATGTGCAATGCACGGCGTCCCGAATGTCATTACATGTCAGTGCTGGCGCCCGGCGGAACGAGGCATCGACTATCCGCTGTGGAGTATTTACTGTGTAGCTACTGATAATGCAGCGAAGCATGCACTACTACTGAAAGAGCGGTGCATAATATGCTATAAAACATCCATTCATGCAACTTTATCCTAAAAGTATCTTTGTGTTGCTTCTAAATACTGAAGTAGCTACTGAAGCAATTATGCCTCGCATTAGGTATAACTGGTAAATACCCTTACAAGTACTATATACCAGTATAACGCGTTTTGGGGCGACTAACGGAGCGAGCGAGAGGGTGGGCCTTGCACGTGCGAAATTTCGAGGGGGTACCTCCAATTGACTTGTGCACGGCACCTTACTAACCGGTCTCTAGCGATGTGCCAAATTTGAGCACAATCGGCCCAGCCGTTCTCGAGATCTGAGAGCGGCACCCTGCACGTGCGCACGTGCAAAATGGGTCCCAACTAACTTGTGCACGGCACCCTACTAACTGGTCCCTAACCGTGTGCCAAATTTGAGCGCCATCGGTCCAGCCGTTCTCGAGATGTGGAAACGACCCCTGCACGTGCGCACGTGCAGCAGCACCCCAACTCTGGCACATGTATATGCAGTGCCTAGTGGGTGCCTACCTACATGCCAAGTTTCAGCGCAATCGGCCAAGTAGTTACCGAGATATTGCAACAATTACAAAAGTGACACCTCTTCGTTTTGCACGTGGCACGTGCATAAGGGGCCACCCACATGCATCGGGAATAGTCCAATACTTGGTAGAAGGAATGAAGCTACCCTACAAAAATTACCGCGTGTAAATCGATCAAGTGGTTGCTGAGATATAAGCCTCGCAAAAGCGTCCGCACGGCCGGCCGGCCGGCCGGCCGCTCATACTCAGAAATTTCCGGTAATCTAAGGAAAGACTCCGCTCGCTTCGCTCGCTCCGTAACCACCAGTATAGCGCCTTTTGGGGCGACTAACGGAGCAAGCGAGAGGGTGAGCCTTGCACGTGCGAAATTTCGAGGGGGTACCTCCAGCTGACTTGTGCACGGCACCCTACTAACCGGTCTCTAGCGATGTGCCAAATTTGAGCACAATCGGCCCAGCCGTTCTCGAGATCTGGAAGCGGCACCCTGCACGTGCGCACGTGCAAAATGGGTCCCAACTGACTTTTGCACGGCAGCCTACTAACCGGTCCCTAACCATGTACCAAATTTGAGCGCCATCGGTCCAGCCGTTCTCGAGATCTGGAAACGACCCCTGCACGTGCGCACGTGCAGCAGCACCCCAACTCTGGCACATGGATATGCAGTGCCTAGTGGGTGCCTACCTACATGCCAACTTTCAGCGCAATCGGCCAAGTAGTTACCGAGATATTGCAACAATTACAAAAGTGACACCTCTTCGTTTTGCACGTGGCACGTGCATAAGGGGTCACCCACATGCATCGGGAATAGTCCAATACTTGGTAGAAGGAATGAAGCTACCCCACAAAAATTACCGCATGTAAATCGGTCAAGTGGTTGCTGAGATATAAGCCTCGCAAAAGCGTGACCACGGCCGGCCGGCCGGCCGCTCATACTCAGAAATTTCCGTTATTCTACGTAAGACTCCGCTCGCTTCGCTCGCTCCGTAACGAGTGGGTTTATGTTCCAGCCACCAAATGCAAGACACAGTGGGCGTATTTACAGTCATGCCGGTCTACAGAGGCGCTCTATATACACAGTCTATAGACGACGTCCACGAACACATGCTGTTCCATCATGCCCTGTGTAATCGTCGTCACTTACTGATAAAACTGGAACACACGAGGAGGCCTACTGGCGGTCGGCGCCAGAGTGAGACAGACACGGAAAACACACCGTTAGTGACACAAAAACCAGCACTCCATCCAGTTACACGGGATGTTACCGCTAGCACTAACTCGGATAAGACAGTACCTATTCATATTTTTAGACTTGCTGTGAACATACATTGTATGCACAAGTTGTTATGATCGGGTTTCAGGACGAGCGCTTTGCGCTACGCTTTTCGCTTTTGATTTTTGGTTGAATGACTGAGTTTTATCGTATCGAATACATCGATATCGTTAGATTTAATAGCCGGATTACAATGGACAAAATAGCGAAAGGCATCAAAACTAAAGTCGCTCGGGTGAAACCCATGTTCGTTATTGCACCGAAAGACGAGTAAGAAGATTTACAAAATAAATAATTAATAACGTACCACACCTCTGTTAGGGAAAGTACCACACAAAAAGTTAACAATGTTAGTTAGTGATTAATAGTGGGTTTATATTGGAGTTTGTCTGCTTGGTTGTAAGGACCAATATAGCTCTTGAAAGGCACGGTTTCACACCCACCCACACTCTCTCTCCGTGACCTCACCTGGAGAACGGCGACTGATCAAACAGCGAGCCGTGTCGGAACGTCATGGGCTTATCGAACAGCGACTTGACGGGTCCGTGCATGTCCCAGAGATCGGGCATGGCGGGCAGACCTCGCTGCGAGAGGGAGCCGCCGGCACTGCGCGTCCGGTCTAGACGCAGCGGCTCACCCATCAGCAGCGAGCGCTGGGGGAACGGAGAGACGGTATTAATGTCAGCAGAACGCTGCCGGTCCAGTCGCAGCGGCCCGCCCATCAGCAGCAAGCGCTGGGGGAACAGCATGATGCCAATACAGCTGTGAGAAAGCCGAGACAGGTACTTGGTAAGCCACCGAAACCGATACCAATATGCTGTTGAGACAAATACTGACCGGACAGTGAAGCAGATAATTACAAGGCACCGAGATAAATACTGACGACGCACCGAAACAGATGTAGGTTTTCCGGAATTGTCAGTGTGTTGACGGCCGGTTCACTCTGGGCCAAATACCGATACAGATACTGACAAATAAGACATAGACTTCCGCTTGAAATCGAAGGGGACGAACTTCGTCGTTCATTCATCCATTCGGCCATCCATCCAATAGCTGCCGTCGCCAGTCTTACCTTGGCCGGGTTGCCGTCCATGTCCATGCGCTTGGTGAGGCTCTTCATCCTGTCCATGAGGTTGCCGAACAGGGACTCGGCGGTGAAGAAGTCGAACTGATCGTCGTCATCATCCTCGCCGCCCGAACTGAGACTGTCCGCCCGCTCCGTAGAGGAAGTCATACGGGGACGGGACAGTCTGCCGACAGGGGGGGGGGGGAGGGGGTTAATGGCATGGGCATATTACATAACATCGAGACAATGAAGCCGTGAGGCACCGAAATGGCAGGTAATTAGCACTAGTGACAATATCCGACCTACCACTGTTAGCAAGTGGCAGAAACGAGTTATGAGAAAAAAGGTGTCACGACGCATCCTGGTAAAGATGAGAAAAAGTTTTTGGTCATATCTAAGCATGTTGAGTTTATAATGTGACAAACCAGAAAACCATGCCTCTACGCAAAAAAAAAAAAAACATGCAACTCATGCAACTGTTGATGCAAACGAAGGTGCTTCCAACCAGCGGAAGCACACATATTTCCTCTTTTTAAACGATCCACGGAGTACACTGTGATAACTGATGCTCTAAAAGCCCACTGACTGCCTGCGCCTAACATCAATATTTCAACCCCCTGTCCTCTGCTCTTGCTCTCATTTCCACTCGTCAGTTACCTTCGCCGCTCGGAAGGCCAGCTTCCCATATCGAGCAGCGGCCGATCGTCGAAACACCGCATTGAACTGAGTCTCCGCAGGCCCAAAGGCGCGTCCCACAGGTCTTCACGCGAGGACCGGTCGCCCAGCAAGTTTCTGCCGGTGGCCGCCAGGCGGCACTGTTAGTCTCACACGCCGGGGGCACACAGATAGATCCAAGAGGTCATCTCACGGTAATTTTGGACAACACGAAACGAGACAATACGAGACAAGACGAGGGGAGTGTTAGCAAATAGAAACGCTCAGACACATGCGGGTAATAAAGTGAGATGAAAACACGACACGACAAGCTCTAGCTACTATGAAGTAGGCGTGGGAAAATGTTTCGACAATCAAAACTGTAATAATTACGCAATACAAACAATAGTCGTAGAGTACCGTCAACCAACGTTCCCCCTTCCCCGCCCAAAAAGAATCCAGCAAATTTATGGATGTAACTAATTTTCCATTTGGTATACGAGTCTCGGTCGTATAAGTATCGATAGCATTTAATAGTTATTGGTGCTGTGACCCGGGTATGAGCGTTGAGCAGAGCTCGTTAAAAAAATGATGCTAACAAATTTACCTAACACCTATCATTTGGCGTTACCGGTGCGTCGTTGGCACCGGGATCACGGCGTGAAACAAAATGCTTGCCGGCTCTGGCAAACACCGGCACAAACACGCGTCGCCGCCACCTACACGGCCCAGCGTTCCGCCCACTGCGCTGCCAAACAAAGCCAGACGGCGGGCAGCAAAAACGCCCCGTGGCACAGACAAGACTCGACGGACAGACCAGCAACGCCCTCCCCATCACTCACGGGTCTGGGTTGAAATGAAGCAGCTCTCTCTCTCTCTCTCTTCTCTCTCTCTCTCTCTCTCTCTCTCTCTCTCTCTCTCTCTCTCTCTCTCTCTCTCTCTCTCTCTCTCTCTCTCTCTCTCTCTCTCGCTCTCGCTCTCGCTCTCTCACTCTCACTCTCACTCTCACTCTCACTCTCACTCTCACTCTCACTCTCACTCTCTCTCCCTCTCTCCCTCCCTCCCTCCCTCCCTCCCTCTCTCTCTCTCTCTCTCTCTCTCTCTCTCTCTCTCTCTCTCTCTCTCTCTCTCTCTCTCTCTCTCTCTCCTCCCTCCCGTTCCCTCGTCTCACTCACCCCAGCCGGCGCTGGCCAGACATCTGGTGCGTCCGGAACAGACTGCCGCCCTTCTCCCGGTCCTCCTCCTTGGTCTGCGCCTGTACCGTCGGCGTCATCGTGCCGCCTCCCTCCAGCGCGATCGGGATGATAAACTCGCGCGGAGACTTGCGCAGCGCTTCCCTGGCAGGAGGCGGAGCCAGTTCCTCGGCAGTGCCACTACCGTCGTCACTAGACGAGTCTTCAGGCAGGGAGCGAAGAGAACTGGTGTGGGAGACCGGCTTCTGACGGCGACGGTAGGCAGCGGCTGGCGCAGGAGCGGCAGCAGGGGCTGGCGCAGGAGCGGCGGCAGGGGCCGGCGGTTCTGCCGGTGCTGGTGTGACGCTCGGAGGAGCGGCCGCCGCCGCTGGCTCTGATGCCGGTGTCGGAGCCGGGGCGGGCGCGGCGGCCGGTTTAGTGTCCTCATCCTCACCCACCAGTCGGATGGGGATGATGTACTCCTTGCTGGGTGCGCGCCGCGGCGGCAGACTCTGCGCTCGGTCCTCAGTGCGCGGGGCAGCTGGCGCCGGACGCTGGGTGCCCTCACTGGAGACGCGGGACAGCCGGTTAATCTCTGCTGCCATGGCCGGAGGCACTGGGGGAGCCCGTGTGTCGATGGGCGAGGGGCGGGCCCCTGAAGTGTCAGACGGTAGAGAGGACACTCGCTCGACAGGGGCACGCGCCGGCGAGCGACGCTCAGGCATCTTCTCACTAGCTTTGGGAGTTTTATCAGCAGCTGACTTCTCATCAGATTTCGCCGCCTTGGGTTTCGGTTTCTCCTCAGGCTTAGGCCTCCAGTGTTCCTTTGGCTTTTCTGGAGGTGCTGAAACCTCCTCTGCCGGCTTCGTAGCGGGCTTAGTGACCTCAGGCTTTTTAGCAGCTGGTTTGGCGACCTTTGTGGTCTCTTCGGGCGCTTGTGGTTTCTTTTCTTCTTTCTCTTCTTTGTTGCACGGCCTAGCGATTTTAGCCGGCTTCGCGGGCTGATCTTTGACTTTCTCTTCAGGTTTTATAACAGCATCCTTGTCCTTCGCTACACTTGAGACATCTTCCTTTGGCGGAGTGGGCTTCCTAGTCTGGACAGGCACATCTTGCTTCATGTCAGAGGGACTGCGGGCTGGCTTCTTGCTCGGTGTTTCATCAGGCTTTGAGGAAGCAGATTTCTTCACACTGATCTGAGGCTCCTGAATAGACGAAGTCACCTTTGCAGCAGGCTCTTGCGGAGCTTTAGGCTTTTTGGTTTGACTGTCTGAGAATTTGGTATCTACCACTGGAATCTTGCTCTTCTTGGGAGTGGTAGATGGTTCACTTGTCCGCACAGGCGATTTTTCCTTTTGGTCTGACTTAGGCGTGATGGCCTCTACCTTTGGTTTCTCATCACCAGTCTCTACACTGGGCTCGGTCTGAACGGGCTCAGCCTGAACTTCCGGTGGTGCATAACTGTCCTCAGTGATCACAGCTTCAGGGCGACTCGACTCCGCTTCAGCAATAATATCGGCAGGAGTCGCAGTCTTCTCTTTGGGTTCCGCTAGTTTCAGTGACATTTTACTACTCGTATGAACAGGGCCTTCTGGTGCCTGTTCTGGCGATATGACTTCTTGAGCAACCTTACTATCTGAGCTACCTTCTGCACTAGGAACTGCCTTTGATTTACCTTCCCCGGTTTCAGCCTGTGACGGCTGGATGGGGGGCTCCGCAACACCCTCCTCGGCCACAGTGCCAACGGGTGATTGTCCCTTCTGTACTACCTCGGGCTCAGGCGCGCTCTGAGTGACCTGAGGCTGCTGCGGCGGCACCTCCACCGCGGGGAAGTCTTCCTCGGTCGGCTCCGGTTCCGCAGGTGCCTCCCCACGCGGCTCCGGTCGCGACTCTCCCTCCCCTTCTTCCTCCTCCGGGCGCTGGGGCTCCTCTGCAGCCACTGCTGCCTTCTCAGACACCGGCTCAGCAGCCTTCTGCTCGCCATCAGGCACCCTTTGACCGGCACTCTGCACCTCCCCGCCCGCCGCAGCCGCCGCCTCTCCCATTGACACATCCTCCTCAGGCAGTGGCGGCTCCGACGGCGGCTTCTTCTTCTTCTTGGCCGCCTTCTCACCCTCCTTCTTCCGCGCCTTCTCCGCCTTCCGTGTTGCTTTCTCCTCTCCCTCATCGAGTGCCCGTTTGGCCGCCTTGTCGGCTGTAGCCGGCTCGGTGGGCTGGTCACCGGGAGCTGGTGAGGCGCCCGGCTCCATCTCCATCGCGCTGCTGGCCAGGGATAGAGAGTCGGAGGCGCCGAACTGTGCCTGGGACGGCTCAGTGTCGGCCGCCGGAGGCACGATCGCCTGTGAAATGGAGACAGAAGGTTAGAACAGCGGTTTACAGGAGGTAAAGATGTAATCCGAGGCGAGTATGAGGTTATGCACCATGCGGAGAAAACGTTAGCACGTGACTTCAACAATCATTTGCACTGGCATTGTGAAGCACATAGACAATATACAATTTGGTGTCTATCATCATGTTATAAAGGTACCACCCTCCAGCTTATATTGCACGTATGATTAACCCGCGCACCGACGGGGGGGGGGGCGGATATCCGCCCCCCCCTGAGGTTTTTCGCGAATAGCGGGAAAACCGCGGCGCGTAGCGCCGCGAAATTTGGTATGACTATTCCCTTATCAATTTTACACATGGTGTGCAAGTTTGAACCTCCTACCTTTCAAGGTCAGGTCACCAGGTCACTTTGAATGACCCAACCTCAAGTCACTTTTTTGCAACTTTGTCACCGTGCCAGAGATACAGTAGATGTCGGAGGCATTTGAAAGTCGCAGGATGTTATTAGGTCATTAGTAGCTACAATTTGTATATCTCGGAATTTTGATATCGGTGACCTAAGGTCAGGTCAATTTCGCGACCTCCCCATTATAAGTCAATGGGGGAAAAATCAACTCCCTGTTTTTACCACTAAAACGGGTCGGAATGGCCCCATATACCATACATGACTTCATATACGATCAACCTTCACTACCTTGAGGTCTGTTTTGCTGTTGGGCAGCTGTGAGGTCATGTGACGTCATCAAAGGTCACCAAAGGTTTTTGGCCAATAACTCCGTACAGGAACAAGATACAGACGCGTGGATGGTCTCATTGTGTTCAGCTCGTCAAGACGCATCGAATGATATACATGATGACCTCGAGGTCACGTGACCTGAGGTCAACCTTTGACCTTGACCTTTCGAGGTCAACATATATATCATTCGATGCGGATTGACGAGAGGATCACGATGATGCCCTTAGTTTGTTCCTATCTTGACTAATTCGAAAGTTATTCGAGAAAAACTCTCTCCATATTTAGCGCCGCCATTTTGACTTTTTCGACCCCTGTGACGTCATCTTTGACCTGACCTGAAAATGACCTTAGTAAAAATTGTAGATCTTGACCGTGCGTATCCGATGCCGTTTACCGCTTGTCGCTATCTTGCTTCGTTCTCGAGATCTCGGGGGGGCGGTCATCCGCCCCCCCCCCCGTGTCGGTACTAAGTTGGCGCAGACCCCCGTCGGTGCGCGGGTTAAGTACATTTAAAACCCATTGCTTAAGAAAAACGAACGCTCATAAAGACGCCCTCCCCTCGACTGACCTCCGCCGGCTGCGCCATGACGTGCTCCTTGTCGGGCTCCTGAGGCGCCAGTGAGAGTAGCAGGTCGAGTCGCACCGGTGTCTGGTTGGCCAGCTCCTCGGCCGCCTCCAGACAGTTGATCTCCTCGTCCTGGTTCACCCACCAGTGGTCACACACGTCCACCATGGTGGCGCGCTGCTGCGGCGACGGCGTCAGCAGGGCGTGGATCAGCTCGGAGGCGGCTGCGGGAGAGGGGGAGAGCAGGTCAAAATGGTTCGATGAAGGTCAGCATGGGTTGGTGGAGGCCAGAAGAGGTCGATGAAGGTCAGTAGGGGTACGGAAGTCATTATAAAGGTCAATAGAGGTTGAAAGGAACCAATGGAGGTCATTGAGAGCGGGGTTAACGGAATTCAACGGCAGTCCACCTCCCCAGAGGTCAGCTATGGAGGTCAGTGAACTTTATCAAAAGTCGACCAAAGTCGGAAAAGGGCACCAGAGGTCAACATGTATCAAAAGAGACTCAACAGCGCACGAAAGAACGAAGGTCAGCAGGGAGTGAGCTGCATGGACACGGAACGAAGGGCATTGTTTTCTAGCAAACGAATAACGAGCAGGTTGTGTAAAAACGGTCCGACAGTACTCCGGGCTAGCCGATTATATAGCCTTGACCCAGCCTGAGCGAAATTCATCGAAGGATAACAACAGCCATTAGCAGAATGAGGAAGGCTAACGATAGCCTGGCATGAGCCATCATCGGCGGTGCATGAAGTTTCTCGTGTTTTGATGATTGACGTTTATACACGTCTTGGATATACCGTATACAGCTGTATAGATAGTGATACCGCTGGGATAGCGTCAATACCTTTGCCCACAATTGTGCTGGAAGTAGTTATTTCCGCACCTTAAATGGAAATTGCCATCGAGTCGCAAAGCTCATCATTAGGCATCCCATTGAGGATCATGGCTAGCATTAGAATCACGATCTCTTCGAGCTGAAACGGACGATCCGAATGGCGTTGCAGATCACTGGTATGCCACCGCGACCACTGAGGCACGCGGCACACATGCGACATCCCATAGCGGGATGTGAACCGGTCTCTTTCATCCTCCCGCTGCGCATCCTCCGATCCGCGGTCAGACAGATGTTTGATCGGACCAGAAAATCGCAGGTCGGTGTCTTTATCAAAAGGGTGCGGCCGTCTAGTGGATGGTACGACCATGGGTCAGCAGTTCCCGAGGTAAGGGATAGTCGGGAGCTGCCCGGAAAGTCAGGGCGAATGATGGAACGTTTCACAGAAAAATACAGATTTACGGTGTCGCTCCAGAAACAGGACCCAGAAGCCACTGAACCAGAAGCTTTAAATAAAATATGAACACGGACTATCTCGTATGACTTATTCAAATCCACATCTCAGCACAGTGCACGCGATCCCCTCCCCTTCCCTTTTACACGTTACTCACGGGACCGTTTCTGCGGCTCGTAGAAATCTCCCGCTGTGATCTGTTTGACCAGTTTCTTGAAGTTGGAGCCGTCAAACGGCATCGCTCCGTAGACGAGTGTGTACAGGAGGACACCGAGGGACCAGCAGTCCACTTCGGGGCCCGTGTAGGGCGTGCCCCGCACGATCTCCGGAGAGGCGTACAGCGGCGAGCCGCAGTACGTCGACAGCAGGCGGCTGTCCTCGAACACGTTACTCAGACCGAAATCGGCGATCTGAAACGCGCAGGGGAGTGGCATAGAGTCAGCTTCGGAGTTTTGTGGTTGAGGAAGTCCCGACTTCCTCAATTTTCATTTTTCTGAAGTACCGGGAAAGGGTAGTGTCAGGGAGATAAAGCATGAGTAAAAGGTAACCGGTAGCGAATGAAGGGAATGGTTATTTTCGTCAAAATTGAAGCAAAGTTGAGCGTTGTAGCCACTTTTAGCAGACGATCTCTTTGAGGAACGAGACAAAGCCAACTAGACCGCATTCGTGGTAAAAAACCGTATCCAATCCACCGCACATCACTGGGCAATTATTATAGTCGACGTTCAAGGAAAAACGGTTTGCCAGTCACCTTGCCACCATATTTACCTTGGCATTGCCGAACTCGTCGAGTAGAATATTCTCCAGCTTCAGGTCACGGTGGCAAATCTTGTGCTGAAACAGACATCGAATGTATGAGCAGGACTGTTTGTAACAACGGAATTGTAGCGGAAAGTGATATAAAAATTACGTCAATCACTTGACTGAGCTTGGCACTTGGAATGCTTAGGTCGTCATTAGCTGAAAGCAATGTGAATTTGAAGTTGTATTAGGCAAGAACTGACGAATAGACTAACCGAAGACAAATTCTGACGACATATAGCTACTTCACTTGTCCGGTCTATCCAGCAGTAGAGACACTGATCGCTTTCTGGGGTAGCATTCAGGGATAGAATCGTACTGGTGTAGTGTCCTACCTTGTGGCAGTAGTAGCAGGCGCGGGCCATTTGGGGTAGTATCCCCGGGTGGCAGGTAGCAAGTGACCTAAGGTAGTGCCCGGAGGAATTATCCAACCTTGTGGCAGTAGTAGCAGGCGCTGGCCACCTGCGGTAGTGTCCTTACCTTGTGACAGTAGTAGCAGGCGCTGGCCACCTGAGGTAGTGTCCTACCTTGTGGCAGTAGTAGCAGGCGCTGGCCACCAGGTGTAGTGTCCTACCTTGTGGCAGTAGTAGCAGGCGCTGGCCACCTGGCGGAATATCCTGCGCGCCTCGCTCTCCGAGAGGACCTTCTTCTCACTGAGGTAGTCGTACAGCTCACCGCCGGCGGCGTACTCCATCACCAGAACCATCTTGTCGCGGTTCTCAAACACTGTAGGGGCACAGGGTGGTTGTGTTTAGAAGGCGGCGGAATTTACAGAAACGTGGACTCCCAACTGTTACAGGTTACAGATGAGTAAACTCGAGGTATGTGGGTGGCATAAACATTACGCCTAATCGCGAGGCACCCGATGCCCTGTATAGCGGTATGCTGGCTCCGTTCAACGGGCAAAATGATATACGAGTTTAGACAAGCAAGCTTAATGGAAGCAAGTTAAATCTAGGTGCGTTCACGGGTTGCATTGTTTGCGATGCTTGTCTTAATTCTCCATTGTTTGCAAATTGCACAAACGTAAAAAAACTGCACGAATGGTAGACGACAAGCAGTGGTGACTATGAGATGAAGTGCGGCGACCATGCCACGCCACCTCACTTCTTCATTAGATGGAACATTGTCTTACCTACATAGAAACCAGACATATAGGATAAAGGTCGTGATGGTCAGTGATGGAAACCAAAGGCCCTAAAAGGCTGCACATGCGGCATATCGGCCGCGGTCATTATTATTAATCAACTGTAACGATGGTATCTATTGTGGTTCTCCGTTTTAGGCAGAGATATTCCGATAACTATTGTCTAACAGCAGAGTGGGCGACGATAAGCTATGTGATCGTGTCGATAGCGAGTTCTGTCAGTAAGTGATCTTGTCGACTATCACAGGCGGAGATGACAAACGTAATGTCATTTGAGCGACTCGTTCAGTCTTTTCGGCCACCGACGTTGACAGATTCCAAACTTTTCTGATGTCGTCAATCGCAATGAACGTGAACTGACTTGAAAGACTCGCATGCAAAATATACGCCATTATATAACATACTCAATACTCATATCAAAATAGCCTGAAGTATGCGCTTGTGCAGTTAAAACCTGTTGAGGTGCCTCCTTCAACCTTCATGGCATCCCATGAACAAACACGGACCGGTCCGTGTTCCAATAAAACATTCCAGCATGGTAAACGTTACGCACATGTTTTACACCGGAACCGTCATAAGGCGTCGTTTAAATGCCAGACACATAATCATTTTTACTGCGTGAACATGTCATTGATTAAAATCGCAAATGGTTGAACGGGCAGATTGACACGGAGCTTCATTTTATGTTATTTGTCATTTTATCAGTATGCAGAACTACCTTTTTGGTGAGCCAACCAATATGAATATTGAATAACCATATGCAAAGTATTGAGCCGCCATTGTCGAACTTAGTGCAGATTTGGGGAAAATGGGACAGCATTACCTCCAACCACAGACATGAATGGCGAAAGTTGAATTACCTTCAAATATGTGGATGATATGTGGATGAGTCACAGAGGACATGATCTGAATCTCCCGGCGGATCCGGATCAAATCCTTTTCAGTTTCAATCTTGGCTTTCCGGATTGTCTTGATTGCAACCTGAGAACAGAAAATGGATACAGATCAAGATGGGACCTGATCGAGCACCGGGGACGTGTTGTGAGCGTTTCGGGGAGGATCCTGACAAGATGAATGTGAAAATGTAAAAAATTGATCATGACTTATTTATGATGCACAGGTGCTATGTTAGTTGATATTTATTTATTTATCAAATATCCTCCTAGACATTTTTATCACTTTCTTGCTGAGTAGTACGACCGACAGATACAATCGTTCATGACCTGCTAATTTTTGTCCAATGTCAAACAGAGACGCCTTCTCACAAAGCCGCTGGTCAGTGTCCTCTCGGGAGTCGGTGTCCTCTCGGCACGTGAGGATTCACGTCCTCTCGGCCGGTGAATGGTAACGGTACTAACACCGGGCCACTTTCGGGCCGAGCCGACCCTGGCTCCGGCTAGGGCGGCCCGCCGACTCCTCGTCTAGGTGAGGGGAGCGGGGAGGGAGGGGTTCGGGTACCGAAATAGACGCCGTTTCAGCGCAAATGGACTTCTTGACACCAAATAACCGACAGCATGGCGTCGCCATCGGCGTAAACATCCGTCCTACGGGCACGGATGAGTTTGAATAGCAGAGTTTGCTCGAATCAGATCGACACCAACCAGTAAACATATCAACCACACATCATCGATAAACGTTCCGTCTGCAAATAACCATGTTATGTAGCCAAGGCTTTACACAAGGACGCTGCCTAGCGTCATACTAACAAGCTTTTTTCTTGCTAATAGGAGCACAATATGTCGAAGAACAAAACTGGAATATGATATGGACGACTACCTACTGACTATTTTAGGCGCCACTCGGGAGCATTTAAGACCAACTGATTACTCTCTCCTGAAACAGACTGCCATTAGCGCTATCGGTCTTGGACAAACAGACTGGCGCACAGGATCCCCAACAGTGTAACCTGCTTACATAGTAGAGCACGCTTTTTGAGAAATGAGAGTTTCTGTGGTATGATGTGACAGAAACAAGAGCCACTCATTAGACCCAACGTATCAAGAAGCTAATTACAACCGACGCATTGAACCCCATTTTCCGGAAATTGCCCGGAAACGTCTCACATGCCAGGACTTTGGCGAGCAGTCGCATGCACATGCACTTTGGTGACCAATACTGCTTGTCACAGCCAATCAGATGGAAGGCGATCAGTATATACAGCGGAGGGGCACCGCGCCAGGACAGCGGCGGCTGAGCTCTGATCACAAGCACGGTCGGGTTAGGCCCGACACAGGGTAGCAGTCAGCTGACAGTCTTTGTAGAGCTGACCCCTGAGACCAGCTGGAGGGTTCGTTGGACTGGACTTTTCTTATGGCTCACGGAAGGGCGTGGTTAGAATTGACCTCCGACAGGCTGAAGGGTCGGGTCAACTGAGGTCTCCTCTGACAGAATAAAGACTGGCCTTAGAATGAGGACTGACTGAACGGATGCTGCGCGGTTCGGTACACCGGCCACAAAACGCATGATCCACTGGGCACTGATGATCCATACTCTAAACTGATGGTATAATGCCTGATTACCTACATATGGTCGGCTGGAATATCCCGCCTATCGGACCCCGAGCTTGCAGACCCGGCGCCAACTGCCTGTCTCCATCGCCGAAAGGAAGATACATAGACTGCGGCGGATAAACTTAGATCGCGGCGCTTCAGGAGACGCCGATGACATGACGGATGATCGCAGCCGAAATCACGACACATGTCGGGCTGATTGATGACATCTTTCAATCGCTAATGATCACCAGAACTGGGAGTAGCGCCGTAGCGGTTCCCGCAATCAGCTTTCAACTAATGGCCGACTCGCATGGAAAATATTTGTTGCAAAAATCGATAAGTGCGAAATAAATGTTCAAAAAAGAAAATTGATATCGTTCCAAAAACTTAACTCCTCCGACTGCCAGCATTCCTCGGAGGTCACTAAACGACTCACCGAGTGCCTCAAAGGTCACGGCCGCTCAATGTGATTGATGGCTCTGCTCCGAATCTGACGCAAACAGCCGCCTGTCTTGCTTGCAGCAGAACGTTCATCTAATTTATAGCGAGGGTGCCGAGAGAATGTTTCAAACGTGTCTTCACCAGAGCAAGTCATAGCCAAAAACAAAATCACTTAAAAGAACATCAAATAACCAAACCTTTACTTCCGGCAAAAAGGATAATTGTGATCAAGCACCCGCTTCGGAATGAGCAAGTAACGTCAGATCACATGGGCCCCGTTATCCGGGCCGCCCTCATTGCCTTGCTCATTCATCGCTGCTGCCTGAACCCCAATCTGGACCCGTTACAGGTCGGGTCAGCGGGACCGAGCGCCCAGGTCAGCCGGGGCCGTCGGAGGCGGGCGCTGCTTTATTTCGGGAGGATCCAGTGACAACAAATACTCCAAACGCCAAAACTTGGGCCGCGTTGGCGTCCTGCCTGCCCTCCAGCGTGGCCTACGCTTGGAGGTCGCCGTCGCCGGCGGCCGGTGGTCTAGTCCCTCAATGGCTGTGAGCAGCGTGAGCCTTCTGAATGGTAATCGCCTCCATCCACCAGCCGTCGGTCGGCCCCAGACACCTCCCATATAATGAATCACACCGACACACGCAGGGAATGGGTAATTGGTGGTGAGTCTGGTCTTCCAGGAACGTCCGGCGTTACTCACACATGCCTGCTGGCAACGAGAGAGGTTCGTCCATTTGCTGTCGACGCACAGAGATTTTGTGGAATTTATGTCCATTAGGCCTATGGTAATGAGGGAATCGTTACACAGCAAGAGTGACAAGGAAACGTAAATGTTAAATACCGACGAATGAAACGGGACTTGACAGACTTACATCGTTTTCGATTTGATTTCATCGAAAAGTCGTGAGGACTCGGTGACCTCACTTCCATAACGCGCAGACAGGTAACGGGAACTTCAAAAGCCTGTCACACTGCGTCTGCCGGATCTAGATTGCATTCTGCGAGCAATCCATTGTCAGTGAACATTACGGTGATGTACGCCGGTTGACAGCGATCGTCGATTTCGGCAGCCTTTTAGGCACGTCGAGCTGACAGCCAGCAGCGATTCCAGTCACGAGCGACGCCCGAAAAAGGAGAGTACGTAACCGATCGCATCAAGCGTCGAGCAGGAGGATCTCGCCCGCATCTGCACACGATGGCATACGTAACCCGGCGTAAAACCACGGGCGCAACGGGACCGTCAATCACAGCATGATAAGTATACGACTAAATTCACAACGTCATCGCATGTCCCTCAGGACATGCAGGCGTTTTGGGATGTGATTCGTCTCTACCATTACCAACTTGTGAACGTTTAAAGCGCCGATGCATTCGGGGTACTGGAAGGTATGTACTCACATCCTGTCCTGTCTCCTTATTGATAGCAAGTTGAACCTTGCCGTAGGTGCCCTGGCCCAGCTTCTTTACTATGTCGAATCTGAAACAAAGAAAAGTTTTAGGTGTACGTAAATGCGAGCTACATAAATACGCGCATAAATATACAATGTAATACATACAGGAGCCTAAGGACGGTCACATTGTAGGTACGCAAGAATCGGTAGATACGTGCATTGCCCACGCAGTCCAGTCAACCGGCCCATCCATTCTCACCTTATAGGAATCGAACGCCTTAGCCAGCGATGCTAATTCTTTCACTTTTACGACGCGTCTTATGAGAAAATATTCGCAGTGCTCTTATCAGCAGCAGTTCCAGTGGGGTATTTTATGGAAAACGCATTGCAACATTTGCTGCCGAACGTCAAATTGATCAGTGTGTGCCCCATGTTCAGCCCACGCATACAGCACACTTGCCGTGTCTTATGTAAGCGCAGATCGTCAATAATCTGGTTTGGCACGTGAGCAGTGAACATTACGCCTGCAATGGGTACGCTATCAGTACGTGCAACAACCAACTGGCATGCAGCCAACGCCAAAATAGTACCGGACAAAGTAAACTGACAGATAGTCATAATTCATCCAGTGTTCTGCGACTCAATCTATTTCGCACTTTCAACTTAGCACGACGCCTTTTTGCCAGTCAGCCTGCCCCATGTGTCATCTGTCAACGCGGGTCGTAGAGCGACTTAAGAAACCAGATTGAAAGGCCGTTCCATCTGCAAACGTTTCTACCGATTGGCGTTAGGTGGCCTTCGGGCGTACTCAGACACAGACGGAGGCACTGCCTCCAAAACCGCCTAACACTGAACGAAGGACAAGGGTAGTTCTACGTCGCCTTGGAGCGGGTTTCTGAGTCTAAAAACGGTCAGGTTTGTGCGAACGAACGGTCAAGCTTGTGCGACCGAGCGCGCTCAAATTGGTATTTGATGGATATCTAGAGCTGATCTTGACTTCCCAGTTGACATTGATATCCATTGCGGGGAGAGGAAACATTTTTCCGTTCTCCATTCAGGCAGGGTCTGTCTCAGTCTCACCCTCTGTCGCCGCCCTTCCACCCCTCTCCCTTCTGACGCAGCCGCCAGCCGCGGCCGCCCGTTTCTCAGTATCTGACCGGACCGTCTGACCGCCCGACCCACATAGCCCCCGGGCCCAGCCGGCGCGGCCTTGGCATGGTCTACTGCCCCGGAGGGCGGCCGGGTCGCCCCCCCCCCCCCCCTCCAGTGCCTCGGCAGTGTTGTGATGGGACACAGATGTGCTGTCAGCGCCCTCCCCTGCCCCACCCATCCCTCTGCAGACAGCCGGGGCGGCACAGAGACCCAGAACAGGCCGCTCAAAGGGATCAGCCGGGATCAAAGAGCTGTTCAGATGCGGCGCCGCGGCGGCGTGCCTTCTGCGCTGCCGTCGTCCATGTGGTAGCCATCTACATTATCTCTGCGGACATTGAGTAAATCAATAGGCTCTTAGTTCTACATTATTACATTTGGCTCACACTAATAGGAAAATCCAATGGTTAATGCGTCTACCGGTCAGCACGTGCAAGTTCTCCTTGTCCCTGAACACGTGACCGGTAAACACCTGTCCCTGTCGCGGTCCGTCGCGCTGGCACACTGCCAGTAGCCGGCTGCCGCCGTCTCTCCCTGTTCAAAGTGCGGTGACCAGAGGCCGGGTCAGTCCCCGGTCCATCGGCCACGGGCACTTCGACGACTGGACAAATAAACTCCGTCGCGACAAACAACCTCCCCGGCCCCCGGACGCGTCCGCAACCACCCTCGCCGAGCGGGGAGGCAGGGGGCAGTGCAGTGGTCGACTCGGCGCGCGCAGTGGGACACGCACCGCTTACACGCGGTCGTGGGGTCCGTGGACTGGCAGGGCGCCCACCACGCGACGAGCCAGCACGTCGGCCAACGCGGTCGACGGGACGGGTCGACGGTGAGTCACCGGTAGGGAGAGAACTCTGGAACTCGGCAGGTGCCTCGATTGCCCGCGGTGATATCGGGTCAGCGGCGGGAGTGAGGAGATACGACCGGTGACAGCTGGATTGGGGCATGATATAGGGGGGTGAATGAGTAAGAAAAGTGATGAAAGGGAAGTTCATGATTGGAAATTGATGAATGCAGATTGAGATGTCGCGAGAAAGAAATGATTCAAACATTCAAGATTTGGTAGTAGGTAGCTGATAGAAGCACAAATGAAAGCAACGCAATCGCCTTTGCAATCAATCATCAACGTGGAACAGAAAACTTCACAACGAAGAAATGAGTGCTACGAACCAGCGATCGATTTAAAACATCCTATTCCTCATATTTGTAAAAGTCAGATGAAACTATGGTCTAGTCTTGGAGCACCTTGTCCCATGTCAATGCTGCCGTTTGTTCCCCGCTGTTTTCCCGAGTTCCGTATCTTCCGTGCAGCAATATCTGCCACCGATGGCCGCTCGTTCCCGGGAGAACAGGGTGTGTGTATGCAGGGGGCGGCGCGGGCGGACAGAGGAGGCTCTGTTATTGCCACCCGCACTGACAGACGGTCCATCCGTCCATCAGTCCGGCCGGAGTCATCAGTCGGGGTCTCGGAGGAGAGGAACGCTAGGAGGACGGCCCCGGGGAGGACCGTCCTGTGAGAACTGGGAGGACAGTCGAGGGAGGACTGCAGGAGACTGGGAGGACGCACTGATTTGCTGGAGCATCGCGACACTCACTCAGAGCTTATCATCCACTACCCGCTAGCTTTGCCGAGCTGCTCCGCTCCAACCGGTAGATGCAGATCGCTGCGCTCACAGCGGACGTGAATGCTGAATTGGTTGGGCAGCAGCCAAATCACGATTACGGTGGTGAGTCCATCATTCACGGTCGGCAGCTGTGCACAGTGCACCCTCGTGCACGGTGCACCGGGCCGGTGACACGTTGCACGACTGATGACCACGCGGGGAGAGAGACCACGCTGAGCGGCGCTGTTGCACGGCTCACTGGTGAAGTCACATTGAACGATTGCGCTAACCATGCAGATTGATAAGCTGTAATCAGATCACCGACCGAGCTTCTAACAAGGCGCAAAGCATACTACCATGAAAGTTTAAGACTTTAAAAAGGGACCGGACATGATAGAAATCAAAAGGACAGATCGATTCGTATACACAGAAGCGGAGATGGGTGTGCGACACGCTGAGCGTGTCACAACCCATCGTGCGCCTGCACTCATCGGCTCGCCCTGGTCCAACAGCCGGCCGACCCAGTTTGCCCCCGACGGCAAAACACGTCGCCGGGGCACCGCCGCTCGGCCGAGTACCGTTTGGAACGGCCGCCTCCACCGCAGTGGGGTGCAGGCGCAGCCAGCCGCTACCGCAAACAAGCGAACAAAGCCGCCATCGAAGAGGTCAGCGCTGGAAAAACCGCCGCCCCGTCGGCCGCCGGCTAACAGCGCCTTGTTCAACGCACAACGCATCCAAACAATCAGTTCACCGAGTAGCGACTCTGAACGGCTTTCGCACAACTCGCTACGACAGTTGACTCGACGCGTCCAGAGAGAAGTTCGCCCCGCAGACCTTCCCTATCCCGCCCCATCCTTCAGTCCAGCAGACGCATAGGGTCTCAGAAGGGCCGGCACGCGCAGTGACGTCACTATCCAGCCCCCGTGTGACGTCACGAGGCTGGACGTGCTCGCGAAATCAGCTGAGTGTTACGCCACGCCCAGTGGGTCGAGCGCTGCAAACTGGGGCACCGCCACCGGCGCCACCACTGGACAGAGAGCAGACAGGAGAGGGAGGGGAAAGGCCGGACCCCGGCTGCAGGGGGCCTACAAAGATTGGAGCACGGTACAGAACCAGAGGCAGGAGGAGTGACAACTTTAACGACACGTCGCTCAAAGCTGTAAAGGTTACCTGACATTAAACATGGATAAATGATTAGGTTAGATAAATAAACGCAACTGATGACTTGCAGAGCGTTTAGGTACCGGTAAATTTGGAAGAAGATTGTGTATTGTGAGACAAAAATATACAGGCTCGTGAGAAACTAGAATATCTATGGACATGTGAGCTTACAAACCACATTTTTATAACTCAATACCTAACTACGGTATGTCATAATTGAGGAACTAACCGGCAGTCTGACAGGTGCGCCCTGGCCCGGCTGGCGGGCTCAGAGCCGTCCCACTCAGCTGGTGATCAGGGAGGAGCCGTGGAACCGCCCACCGCCTCACCCGCCCCAGCCCGTCCGTCACGAGCGTGTGTGGGTGGCCGAGATGCCCTTTTGTGTCCAGAGGGCCATTTACCACCGTGTAGGCCCGGCGGTATTTGGAACGATGATCGATGTTAAGGCTAAACAAATATGATCGCTGATTACATCAAAGTCAGGACAAAGACCGCTGTGAAGGATTATCACTGGGGCATTATAAATTGATAACGATGCGTTAGTCGGTTGTGAAGGATCCTCACACAGCTATGATACTTTCCTAACCAAAACTGACTAAAATGGATCGAAAAAAGACAAACTGCAATGACATACAGACCATGCTGGTCCTGCGCTATTCGACTACCACACGCACCTGTGGCGCAGCTTGTGCTTGTGGTTGTTGAGGCGGATGCCGGCGTTGCCTTGCATGCCGCCCATGATATTGCTGATCTGGCCCTCGGAGACCACCATGGCTGCTGGTTTCGGTCCGGGATGACCCGGTCAGGTCACCGCCCCAGCCCGGTCACACTCCTGAAAAAGACACACAGAGGTCAGGGCCGCTGAATAAGGGGAATGTAAGACTAACGGTCGCATTGAAATGTAGGCATCTGAACTATCGTAAAGCATTTGCAAACCATTGAAAAATACATGATGCAGCGCTAGAAACATAGTCAAGTGCAGCAGCTTTGTTCTTGGAGCGCCACAATAAATGAAAGCAGCGACTGGTAACATTACAAACTTGCGCTGTCGTTTTAAATGCAGACATAACTCAGCACGACTGTCAAACTATTTGCAAGCGATGCAAAGTCAACGAAATTGAGTAGAGCGTGGTACCCGTTCTGTATTCACTTGAATAATAGAATCGCATTTGGCGTAGGACAGTGCGGGCCTGTTACAATCCAGGTGCATTTGCTAGACTGCAGTGCATGCAAATATAAGAGCTCAAACCGATTGCCAGGTCTTTTCAATTTGACTACCACACAAATGCAAACTTCCTCAAAGCAATGCATAATTGCATACGGTACGGCCTCCTTTGCCCGGGAAACAAACACCAGATAATTTCTACGCCTTGGTACACCAGCCCTAAATCACGACCACTAGCGACAGGTTCCTTGCTCGCGGTTCCACGAGGATGCCGTGGGAACAATGCACCACGATAACAGCTCATCTCAATTCTCACACCGCTCAAGTCGTGTCACGTCTCAGTATTCCTATTCTCAGGCAAAATAACCAGCGCCACGTGGCTACGAAGCCCAATGTTTTCGGAGCTCAACACAGATGAGCTTAGCCCAACAACATGGGTAACAACAGCGTCAACGTAGTGTAGCGGATCTGCAATCACACCACACTTATTTGGCTAAAGCTGCAGAGGACGGCAAATGATGGACAATGGTGATTGGTGTATTATACGCTGTTGAAACGCTCGAGTGGTCCCACCCCATTCACTATCACAGTGTTAGCGCTAGTCCGAGTTTAACTACCACCCAGCAGTGTGGTGGTGAGGAGCTGCAAATGCGACCATCCTTTGAGCTGAGAAATTCATCAGCTCACATCATCCGGCTGAGCACGGATGTCTGCGGAATCGACCCAGACGTGCTGTGTGAGTTCAGCGGCTCAGTGGTTTTTATTAGGTTTTAGTTTCCCACGACAGGAAATTGCGGCCCAAAAGCCAAACCGCAGTAACCCCACGCTGACCCAATCGTCTGGATTTGGTGAAACCTTTCGACGCAGTCTGGCTAACCGCCCTGAAAAGCTGTGGTTTCGTTTGTTGCCGAGGTCATACCAGTTGTGTGCGGATCAACCCGATCCATGATTTCTACCGGTCTCCCTCTTCCCACTCCCTTCACTATCACTCCCTTTTGGGCCTCCTTGTCTCTTCCTCCCTCTTTCGGGCCTCTTACTCTCCCTCTCTCGGGCCTCCTCCACTCGCCTCTCTCCTCTCTCAGACCTCTCTCCAGTCGACAAGCCAATCAGCTCTAGGTGATGAAGTGCGCGTCACTCGGGACACGCTAAGACAGCCGCCTGGCTGACGAGACTGCTGGCATCCGCAGTGGTGAAGGAGGACGATCTATGGGCGTCAATAGAGGTCGGCTCATGGCCCGCTGTTTGCCGTGACGTCCGCCAGGGGCGCTGGTGTCGTAAAGCACCCGGGGCGACTGTTGTGAGCGGCGCTGCGGCGGTGATGAACCCAGCGTCCCCTCATCGACCGGCGCGGCGGCGGAGTCCGAGCGAGCCGCCGCCCACCGGCCAGCGGCGGCCAGCTGCCGGTCTGCCCCACTGGTCTACCCCCGCCGACAGAAGCCCTGCCTTCCACCACGGCACTGACTGCAGCCAAGGTATAGAGGGCATGGGATAGTGTAGTGGATACATGAGTAGAGTAGTTACACCCAGGTGGATATAAGTTAATTGCTCCGGGGTGACCAGGTGGTCACCCGCTCTGTTGTCGAAAGCCGGTTAATCCTGAGACCTTGAACGGCCAACGGTGGACAGATGGGCAGAGCGATTCGGTACTCGGTAGTATGTGAAACAAACGAGCGCAGGCGTAACCACAAACAACGAGCAAACACGCTGTCGTGCCAGCTGTGGCCAGCACTAGGAAGGAAGGAAGCACCGCAAAAAAAGCAGAAAGCCTGCTACATGAAACAGTAAACAATGGGAGCCAGGCCTGAGACCGACAATGGCACGCGACTTTACACCTGGCCGACCACATGTGAGGACGGACCACACACCTGCGCGGCACAAACAACGCACACCCGCCTGCACACACCCAGGTGCGTGCGACTCCACCCACGAGCGTTCCTCACAGATCCACCCCACCGGCCACGGACCGTTACCCCGCCAGGACGGGCGGGTGGTCGCCAGTGCCGGCACTAGTGCCACGGTCTGGTGGTCACCGATGACGTCACAGTACCAAGGTCACCAGGCGGAGAGTGTGGGAGGGTCGGACCGGCCCGCCGGTCACAAATGCACGCCTGGATGCGTGTCAGAGGAGGCGTGTGGCGGCCCCAGACGGAATAAGAACGGGCTGGAGTGACTCAGAAGATGGAGCGAGGACGACACGGTGTCAACTGGCAGTGCTGGCAGACAGGTTAGAGCAGACAGAGCTGACAGGGTTAGAGCAGACAGGACGTTAGAGCAGACAGAGCACACAGACTTAGAGCTGACAGGGTTGGAGCAGATAGGTGAAAGCAGACAGGGACCCTGTCTAGGGTTAGGTCGCCGACAGTGGCCGATATCTGTTTTTGCCATCGCCCATCATAGCCCTGTCGATAGCGCTGCGATGGGCCGACAGGGCTATGATGAGCGACGGCAGAGATAGATAGTCAGATCGCGGACACGGCTGTAGAAATAGACAAAGCCGTGTTAGCACTGACAGGAATGACGGCAGACATGATAAGGCTCTGGCTGCAGACAGAACTGTGCCAGCAGCTGGGCAGTTGCCAGGTCAGAGCGGTTAGAGCTACCAGAAACACGGGCCGAGATGGGGAAAAGATGTTCGCAAAACTGCGAATATACTCCGCGAATTAGTTAAAGGGACACTCCCACCTTAACATTAGTTTTGAGTTGAGATAGCCAAATTGGTGGCCATGGCCTGCAAATACCGGTTTGGGCACTCACAACATCGACAAATGCTTTAATTCGGAGATATGGAATTTCAAACTTGCAGTTTTCGGATTCTAAGGGGCTAGTGCATTGGTATGCCCCCTTAGAATTTGTGACGTCAGCGGAGATCTAACGATTTTTAAATCTTTTACTAAAACGTTTGGTAGCACGCGGTGGTATATGCTGCTTTGCGCGCAACAAATGCCGCACTTTCAAATAAAGTCGCTAGGAACAGCGGAGATCCCAAAAAGTAAACAAAAGTAAAAGTCTAATATCTTGAAAACCGGTGAATATTTTTCGATGAAATTTGGTAGATATTCGTTTTCGCTCTTTCTGAACCGAGCGACATCACTTTCGTGCCAATTCATTAACTTTTTTGAAGGTGGGAGGGTCCCTTTAATCAAACGCAGCCAGTCTCTTCACCCGATCACTGCTACCTTCGCTAAAGTAAAGGCTTATACGTTGCACAGGTGCAGTGTATTCGAAGCAAGAAATAATGCCACTTATTCCTGATAACTAACAATACAATAAAATACAACTGCTACAATACAATGATGATGTAAAATGAGACTGCAGTTGAACAACACATCAGGCCAGGCCGCCATCCTTAAAGGGACCCTCCCACCTTCAAAAAAGTTTATGAATTGGCATGAAAGTGATGTCGCTCGGTTCAGAAAGAGCAAAAACGAATATATACCAAATTTCACCGAAAAATATTCACCGGTTTTCAAGATATTAGACTTTTACTTTTGTTTACTTTTTGGGATCTCCGCTGTTCCTAGCGACTTTATTTGGAAGCAATAGTTTGGCAGCTGAAAGCAGGGGGGGTCCGTCCCTTTACCGGGCCATAGGAGGAAAATTGCTACCAAATGCTGCCAATGTGACGTCACTGGGATGGTCGAAAGCTGATTGGTCGCTGAGATTCAGGCGATGCTGTCAATTCTGGCGCACCGGCGCAGTGTTTTCCAGCCGTTGCGTGTATTGTTATACGGAGTTTAAATATTGTTTATTTGATAATAATATCACTTTTTATGTGTTTGAAGATCGGAAAAGCATGCACATCAGTGGCATTCACACACTTGTCGTCTCAGAGATCATGAAGAATGACCAGCTTCAGCAGTTCAGCTCAGGTATTCAATTTATTCAACTGTATAAGCATGAGTATCATAGGCAGATCAGCCCCGTTTCAGTTCAACCCGGTTTAACCTTTTTTTGTCATTTTTGGCTTTCAAAGGGAGCTTAAGTTGTAAAATGCCTTAGCATTGTTGAAAACAATGAGAAGGAGAATGGAGATGGAATAGTTGTAAATTGTTTCGGAAGTGGCTAGCTTCTATAAATATTAATGCTTTGTGAAAATAGCAACTTATTTGTCAAATTAAATAGTATCATATAACAAATCAATCTATGCTTACCTCCCAGACTGGAAAAAAATTCACACACTGTCAGATGCGTCAGGGCCCAGGGGCTTTCGGGTCTCAAAATTCAGCGCAAGTGATTTCTCACCAAAATTTTGGCACATCTTTTGTGCAAAGTTGAAGCTCATTGCTACTTCTTTTCAATATTAGTTGTTGCCAGATTTTATAATCTGTATCTAAACTTTCAAATTTTGGATGCAAATTTTGAATTTAAAAGGATTTCTGACATGCTTATTGCTGAAAATCCCATTCTTGTTTATGTAAATGTTATGTAATTGACATTTGCTAACTAAACAAGCTCATCCTTGTCTAATGTCTATATATTGGTTTCTATTTATACCACCTGTGCTACTACTAATTTCTATTTGTTGAGACTATTTACCTAATGCATTTGCTTCATATGATTTTATACGCAGACGCACCTGTGCATGGAACAGTAATGCCAGACCCAAATTCAAAATATTAATGAAAAATTGTGTTATTTGCTTGTTTCACCTGAATTCTGAGTCAGGC